CACGTTCAAACAAATGTGTACATCTGGTCCTAAGGTTATTATTACACGCGTTCCAAGGCCTATTATAAAAAAAAAAAAATCGCGGCTGGTACTTGTTGAAGACCGACACACCTTAGCAAACTGATGCGGAACAGTATCGCCCCCACGTGGACAGGCGCCTAAAATAGATTAATGGAGAGAAAGAACGGCGATAGCGAAAAGAAAACTGACCGAAAATTTACGCCTTTTTTCAGGATGACCAAACCGGCTTTGAAGTACATATTAAAACAGAATGCTGAAATAGAATAGACCCATATGCATGGGTCCACGAGCCGAACGCCACACGCTCGCTCACATCTTTATCTGATCGCGTCCCCTTTTCTAACGTCTCCTCGCAATTTAGTACTATCCACTTCAACGAGTGACTGAAACCCATTTTTAGCCGGCCATCGAGTGGGCGGTACCGTAGACGCCCCGTTTGATGCAGTTGAACTGGCATAGGACTCGATATAACAGATCGAACAGCGATGAAGTCTACCAGTCGGCCTCAGAAAATTACGTAGTAACTAATAACAATAATAATAATAACGACAGGCAAAATATTCGCAGGCCAACTTCATACGACTGAATGATGTGTGGAATAACTGTAACAAATGTTCTAACTTATTTTCAGGCAAACGAAAAGTCCGTATATATATATATATATATATATATATATATTATTTTCAATAGAGTAGTCAAGCAGGCCTTTCCTCACTCATCTATAATTATAATAATAAAAAATCTATAATAATAAAGTTCCGATACGAGAAAATGCTGCCAATGGGAATAATTGATACGTAGATATCTAAACTGTGACCATAAAACGATAACCGCATTTATCTTTCTTCGCGTGACGCCTGCCGCCATGGAAGCTGAGCATCAGCAGCTAAAGTAAACGTTGAACGGCCTTGCTTCGGATATTGGCCGTGGCAATGACCTTGAACAACTCTGACAGTGTAATAGTTAACGGATTCAGTAAACGCATTGTCGTCTATGGGTGATGTTGATTTTCGAAGTAGTCGATTTAAACAAATTTCGATAAATTTCTTAATAGGATCATATACTAAGACCGGGACGTCAGCTGGCTTTCGCTTCGAAAACCTGGCAAACAGCCATCTACATACGGTCCAATGCTTTGCGCAGCGTACGAGTCTAACTATGAAGTCATAATACAGTCGCTGGTCACTAGAGCAGATCAATCGTTGGCATGTGACTACGGCCGATGCGGAGTATTTAATTACCTCTCCCACAATCAGTTGAACGCAATCAGCCGTGATCAACTAGCGAATCAACTACTTCAGTAAGTCACTCATAGAATCCGTAATCACGAAGTGGCGGGCCTGAAGATAGCACACGATATCAAACGGGAATTTATTGTGACTTGTTCAGATCAAATTGTCAGATCTGTTTTCGCGAGGCGCTCTATAGGGAACTGTGTGCTGAAGATAGTCTTCACATTCAACAACTCATGCTCTGGCAGGTTCTGACTGTCGCTGAAGCTGGAATGTCCGGTGGTCGTTCCTGCGAGCTGCATAACAACTTCAGCTAAACTACTGTCATTATCATCACTGTCACCTTAAGCATTATAATCGGAGAGGTGTGCTATGGAGAGGTGCGCGCATGTAGTCATCTACACACATTTATGTAGAGAGCTTCGCTGCAGAGAAGCTTGTAGAGGTAATATATCATCGGTGGATTTCCTAAGACATCTTTTCGAGCTCGTATATTTGGGGTCGACTGCATATAAACTCAATACAATGCATTAAGTAGCGCAGCAGAAGAAGTCTGATCGTTTGTTGCTTCTGCTAGTCCTGCCGCCGGCGCAGCTGCGCCTGTTGGTCCTGTCTTCTATCATCTGGCTAGTACAGTCCTGTTCGTGCTGTGTGCAATACGCAACATACTGCTACTGCTACTGCTACTGCTGCTGCTGCTGCTGCTGCTGCTGCTGTTGCTGCTGCTGCTGCTGCTGCTGCTGCTGCTGCTGCTGCTGCCCCAATTGGTGCCATTCTAACCCCATTGGTATTCTCCCCCACGCTAGCCTTCTCTCCCCCAGCAACAGTCACCGCAACTCGTCGATGCAGCGGCGAGCTTTGACGGCGGCCGAGTTGGGTGACGGCCAGGCTTTCTTGGGGGGGTGAGGGGCCACCATCTGTCCGAGTGGCTCAGGACATCCAGTGAGCAAACGTCTAAGGCCGGCCTCGAAGAAGAGTCAGCATTTTCGAGAATGTCATCGACCAGAAAATGTGCAGGCGGCCGGTAGACTTTGACCGTCTGATAAACCCGCCTGATCATCGGGCTAGGCCATCTTAACTTATATCATTCTCTGGTCTTCGGACTTTCTGGCCAAACAACAACGAACGGTTGGAGAGCCTTGCTTTGGGTGACGGCGACTCTATTTCTCAACTGTGCAATGGCCACTCCAATCGCGATTGGCCACTAACCTACCTATTGGCCATATGCGATATAGCCTAAGGTCACTATAAGTGTGCAATGGGCTTCTCGAAGGCTTGCTTATAGGTACTATTAATGTTGTATGTACGGTAAAAGTATCAACAATTATGTACAGCCACAAGGTTTGTAGCAGACAGGTCCTTAGCTAAGCTCCTATGAGGATGCAAGAGACGCTCTTTCCTGTAAAAGATCCCACGAAAATCCCACGTCTAAATTGGGCTGCAGTGCGTAGATCTCGATCCAAAAATGCTTAGAAGCTAGATCAAGTGTATAGAAATGTCACACTTAAAGGATAATGCGTTACAGTCATTTAGCTAAAGAGAATTATCTGAAATAATCAACGTTTCTATGCAGAAGTATTTTTTTCAGTCATGTCAGTGCTTTAGCTGTTTCTCTATGACCTTTTGCATGCAATGTTATTCTCATTTGTTAGAGCCTTTTTACGGCATAAGGACGACTACTAACGGTCCAAAGACGCCCTTTATCACACAACAACAAGGGTTTTTACTCATTTTGTACCTGGTGAAGAAAGTAGATATTTCTGCGTTGTTTTCAACGAGTCCTAAATGTATTAGGTTAAGTGAAAGACACTCATTTGAGACTTGCGGAACTCGATTTTATTATCATCGCCCAATTGTTTGTGGTGCTTTCCCTATAAAACCTGTCTCTTACGATAATACGTAGCTCACATCGAAGTGTTTTAACGTAGGGGGGGGAGATGGGTGGAGGGATGGAGGAGACTCGTTCGGACGAACAGTTCCGGGAATATTGTCAGGTGAGCTAATCGACTTGTGGCGTTCTCAAGCCACAAATTGTGCTCTACCGTTGAATACGTGCCCAGATCGTCCAATATCTATACGTTTCGGCTGTCCGCCAAAGCACAAGGCAATGATACCAGCGAGACGGACAGTAACGTTCGGCCATGTGATGATGTATGGTCTATGGCGGATGACGGAGAGCACCGTTTACCTATGGCGGCAGCTATACGTTTCGCTTTATGGTTAACATAAAATAATGTGTTATTGGCCCTATTCATAGTGATTATTCAACAGCACTTTGGATATAGGCATGTGATTTTATAGTGTATATATATATCAGACATTTACGTAGTGCGTTTGAAATGTTAGAAGCAAAAGATGACATTGTCCTGATACCCGCGTTGGCAACTCAACGTCGGCGTCCGCATCGTCAAATTTCGTTTTCAAGCAGAAGCTCTTTGTCTAAGATGAGGATTATTGTCGTACAACGAGAACTGTTTGTATATCATCGTGTTATTCGTTCCTTCGTTGCGTCCGCTAAAATTGTTTTCTCCTAAAATACGCGATATTTTATAGACGTAGCTTAGCCAACGGTCAGCCAGGCTGGTTCGTCTTGATTATCGATAGACATGCTGCTTCTCTGTTTTTCCGTTCTAGTGAATTGAATCAACCGTGATGTCTCACACGAGGACAATCTACTCTCAGTGGACCTCACACAGCAAAATGCGCAAGTTACGTATCGAATTGATAAAAGGCCATTGTAACAACTCTCAATCCTTCTGGTTTGTTTTTGTTAACCATCGGCCTCCGCTAACGATGACAGCGCTGACCACCGAAGGGAAGTCATCAGGTTTATAAGCGATAATGTCTAACTAGACTTGCTGACTGTTGAATCCAAGCAAGCTGGGCCAGCGTGCACGTTCGATATCTATATCGGTATCGTTGACTACCTTTTGATCCTTTTCCTCCTTTTCGATCGATCGATCGATCGATCGATCGAACGAACAGAAAACGAAGACAAAATGCAATTATTTCGAAATTTCGCAGAACCCAAAATATGTTTCCAGTTTCAGTCCGGTACTGCCGTTGAACATCGCTTTAGAGTTATGAAACCAAATTGATACCTTCTAGACCTGGCTGTACTCGGTAGAAAGAAGCACGGTATCATCATAACTTTATCTCAATATCTATTAACTACTACTTATTGACGATGTACAAGTTAGAGGGTTGTTATAACAATTTTTTTTTTTTTAGTTTTCCGACACTTATAAGGTTTCTTAGAGGAAATATTGTCTAATTTTTCAAGCCATGGATCACTTTAATATCAGCAAGTGGATAGATAGCCTGCTCTGCATGAACATCTAATGGAACGATAGATAACTTCTGAACTTGTTGTCCGTACACAAGTATATATTAGCTCTTATCGGGATCTAATAAGAACGTCTTTAGAACAAATCGATCAACTTTAGGTCAACTTTAAATACATTGGGACATTTCTCAGATGGTTGACGAAAACCCTTAAATCAAATGGGCTTCATTTTGAATCCGGAAAAAGTTTATCTTCTGGGTCAAATCCAAAAACGTAATTTTGATTAAAGAGGTGGCCAATTAGATTTGCAAGAAATCGCCAATATCTTTTGTTAAACGCACGATATATTTAAAATATATTTACCAAAATAAGAGTGGTTTTTAGTTCGAGGCACAGTACGTTATACTGTGTGAACGTAGCTTTTGGGGGGGGGGGGGGGGGCTTATAGCATAGACACTCACCCGGATCGGTAAAGATGATCGCTTCCGTCGGCTTAACGTAAAAATCTTCCGAATCATCGTAGTCAGGATTCGGCGTAAAGCCGTAGCTTTGATCACCATACATTTGGTCTGAACCACTACCATTTCGTGCTTGATATGACGAAATTAGCTCATTCATTGCCGGGATATTCTCTAGCTCGCTTCGAGTGACGTTTGGCACCCTTTCGAGATGGAGTTTCTCAAGGATCGACTGCTTGATTTCGGCTAGTCGTCGCTCCTTTGCCGCTTGATGATTACCGTCACAGGTGGGACACAGATCATAGCTGGTCTCGTTCTGCATCGCTTGAGCTACACCTAGCGCGAGTAGCGAGGCCGTACAGAGAACAGAGCTAGCCGAAAACCTCATATTTGTTGTTACTGCAAATGGCTAACGGTAGAAAAGACGGCAATGATTAAGGTGATAACTTTGTGTTCGTTAGTGTGTACCGCCTGCACCGACGTTTTTTTAGTTGCTAGTGACAGCGATAGTGACAATTGCGATCGAACCGCGCACAGGACTCGTCCACTGCCACTTTGGACGGTGGATAGTAGCGGTTCACAGGGCCAATGTTCTGAACGGCTTACTCGCCTAATCACGGCTCAATGGTAACTTATTCGGACATTAGACATTGCTGACGGCATGATGAACTGTGTCGCGTATGCCAACGCGCGCGCTGTCCCGGAATGAAATGATAACAGTTTGCAATATTGAGAGATCAGATAGCCATACGATGCCGACGAGAAAAGGCGAACAGGATAACACTGACAACAAAACAGTAGTACTTTGTTGTTGGTGTAACACTGGAATCGAAGCAAGTCCGCACACGGCACGTTTTTTTCAAGTGTCGTACGTAATTGACGCACACCGAACGGTCGTGATGTTGCACCACTATTAGCTGTTACGTACGACGGTATCTATTAGTTGCGTTACTGTGTTAGTACGGCCTCCCGGCAGAGGACTTCGAAGTTCTTCTAGCACCGATCCTAGGATGGATCTCTGCGAACCCAAAGCCGCCACTGAGTTTTGGCACCTTTGCTCCGCCTTCGGGGAAAGGGTAGACGTCCCTTTGCTAGCGGATTGGCCTGCGCGAAGCGCCACTTTTTAAACCCCCTGGGTGGCCCTCGTGTGGCCTTTCGTTGGCGCCGTTTTGTGGAAGGAGAACTGTCGCCCGGCGACTTATAAGACGAAGATCCAATTGAACTCAAGTTTCACACGAAGACAACTAATAAACAAAAAAAATATATCCGCTTTATACTGCGTCAATTGTATTCGCGTAATCATTGTTGACCACAAGTTAAGCCAAAGTCTGAGATGTTACGGTCATCAGGTAGATAGCCATATTCTACACACTTGATCGCTGGAATATATAGAGAAGTTTGAATAGCAAATGGGTTTCCGCTACGAAATGAGTTACCACCAGAAACAGATTCGACTTGTGGAAACAGAATAGACGACGTATCGCAGGGCTCGTTCCAGTCGTGACCAACGTTATTGTGTGAGGCCTGTGATCACGATAATGACCTTGATGAGATCTCCGATGGGGTTACTTATAGCGAAATAGAAGGAGGATGATATGAAGAAGAAATGAACATGCGCACCGTCATGGATTTGCCACATGATCTTACTCTCATATATTTGTCTATCATTAATGATGCCCGATAATGTGTGCATAGGGGTATCAGAAGGCGACCAGCTTCACGTTCGTCGACGGTACTTTGAGCTACATCATGCCCAAAAAGATCTAGCTACCACTTCTGCATTCCCAGCTTGTCGTAAGGATGGAGTGAGTCGTTCGCCGGTTGAAGACCCAGTATTCTACTGAATCTAGACTTGGAGCCACTGCAGTTCTTTTCGTTGTACTATCAGTTACCCTTTTACCTTCAATTCAGTTCTTCGCCTCTAGGTCTTCCATCAGTAGCTATGTTTCCATTAATCCTTCCTAGTCTGAATTTTATTGGTTTACTATGTTATCCCATTACTCCTTTAAAAGTTAGGTTGCATTACTTCAGACACCCTTTTAATTAATTTGATTTGAATTTCATTATTGTGTCCTAATTACCTTGTAGATTTCAACAACAAATTCCCATACATTTAATATAAATTATTATTAAAACAATTAAAAATAGATACAAGGCTAGACGTTAGCCATTTACTCCCTAACTATCACTATATTACCACCTAACCACTATTTTAAGGTGAAATCCTGAGTGATTATATGCCGTTCGACAAAACAATCAAGTGAGCAATGCTAAAGTAACTGTGACCGAAAACATAAGAAAAATCTAACTCTTTCTTCCCTTTTCTTAAAACTGGTCAGAGCTCGAAAAGTTAACCTTTAACTTTTTTTTTTTAACAGCCAGTTTTTGCATAAACGCTTAGCCATTATTGAGAAAATCACCTAAATTACTCACATTAGATTTACTATTACTTTTATAGTTTTGACTTCCTTTGTTTTTTAATTTTTGACAATTATCTATGATTTTTTCCTTGTCGGCTCACACTAAGTTGAAGTTTACAGGAACTTTCAGCGAAAAAAAAAAATGTATTCCTTGAGTTTGCTTCTTATGGATATTAGGATTGATGATAGAAATGCATGTCTGTGAAAATTATATCGGACAACTTTCTCTTCCCAGGTACAAGTGCGTGCAGCAATTCTTACGGTACATTTTCATACTAAGACGCTAGCCTACAATGCCTGCATGACTCAGGCCTACAGGACATCATGGAGGTTGGTCGAAAACACATAAGCCGCTTCCTATTTAAATAAGCTTATTTAAGTATAAGACATTTATGTTAACGTAGAGGTCATAGAGCTGCATGTTAACTAAGGCACCATTAAGTTCTATCTCTACTAAGATTTCATGCACTCGTCTAGCTATCTCCTTCGCGAAGGTTGTCTGTCTATCTATCTATATTTACCAATTGTTCCATAGTGTTAAAACTCAACGTCTGTGTGATAAAAATCGTTGGCATAAAGTGATTTTTTTTTTATGAACCGGTAGGATTTCGTTCTGTGGGTGGAATGGGCAAGTGTCGGTGCGGAATTTTTTTGAGGGGTTAGTTCTTTGCCTTCCATAAAATCTAATGCTAATCTGAGCAAGTGAACATCTGACTGAGCAACGAACGATACGTTTAATTATCGTTGAGAATTTCTCAGAAAGTTTGCCTTTCAAGTCCTACATACATACATTCATATTAAGTGTTGGATTTTGTTTCTGAATGGTGATTTTTGGGATACTTATTTAGATATGTGGGCAGGTATGGTGAATGAATGTATAGAAAAATTGAAAATTTCAACTAGGGGAATTCGGGTTAGTTAAGGTCCTACCAAATCTCAATCTTAAGCAAATAGAGCAGAAATTTGTCTAGGTTTGTATTAGGTATATAACATTTTTATGCAGGGTTAATTATTAGACACACAAATTTGAATCAAAACGGGCCGATGGGCAATATGGAAGAATTGGACGGGTAGTAACAGAGTAATTGTTGGTCTGTAAATGTGCTATGATTACACGCCAGACTGGCTGTAAAAATCACAGTATTTTAAACAGACGCGCACGAGGCTAAGCTGATGGGTCGATCACACCCATTACTACAATGTAATACACAAAGTATTCTCTTTTATCTGATGTTTTTTTTTGTGGATCGGTAGTTTTAACGAAGCGTTCACCGTTTTGGACCTTTGTAATGGTTTGAGAAGTTTTTTGCTTTCCTGACAAAGCATGTCCCTCTAACCGTGCCGTGGGGATTTATCCACCTACTAAACTTCGGGACCTGTGAGGTAGTTTAGATTTGAAAAAAGGCGTCAACATTCAAACTTGAAACAATCATTTATAAACCGTAATATTAACCTATAAGGTTAATATTACGGTTTATAAAAGTAACTTTATAAAAGTTACCTATTTTGGGTGATTTGTTGAGGTAATGGTTAGACATTGCTGAAAAACTCAATTGCGAAGTTGCTTGGCCTTAGTAGCTCGACAAAATAGACACACTCTTGATTTTCGTAGATTCTCACTGAAAGGAAAAATCATTTGCTTTAAAAGTTGGAAAACGGATTCACTGGATAGAAAATTATTTTCCTAGGAGAACGCGGTAACAGTAATAGAGTAGCTCTTCGAAAGATCGGAACGAAACGTTTTCTGATCGTTTAATCGTGAATAGAGAAGCAAAGTACGCGGGATCATTGAAACAAGGTCATAAAATAGATTTTGAGACCGCGTTAACCAAGCAGAGAGATATCATAAAAGGTAGTTGCAGCAGGGTGACGAAGTCCCAAGAGAACCACCCAGATATAAATGTACAGGCCTGCAACTAGTCCATATTGTATTAGGTAGAACTTAAATCAAATATTAGAACAAGCCGATCAGGTGACTGCAGGAAGAAGGTTGGATTGTTTTGACCGTGCAGTAGAGTGATGAATTATTCGCTCCAAGGTGATGAGATCACTGGGACAAGACAGTATTAAATTGACCAAACTAGAAGATTAAGATGTACTAAAGTTGGATAGCTGCAACAGGACTACCGCAGGATGTTAGGACAAGCGCAATCAATTTTCAGAAAAAAAAAAAGTCGTGGGACGGCAATCTAGCCATAGCTGGTTACGTCGGTACAAGTGTAATGCAACTTCAGTACTGCAAAACCAGAAGGAAGAACTAGTATTAATTAAATGTGCCTCATTAGCGTGTGAGTTCATCCAGCAGTTATTTAAAATGATTGCATTACTTGAATTGAGCCTTCATTCACGAAAAAGATATTGTGAACTTGTTTGCAAAAACGAACTGCGATATTTTCCTCTTATTGTGACCTAATGAATAATGTTGATGTATGATAGATTGCCCGCGCGGCAATTAACTTCCATTCTGTCCGTGAGTGCACACTCTTTTTCTCAGACAAATAAACAGAGGAAAATTATAACACCTATGTTATATTGCTTTTTTTTAATGCGTTTAATATTTTTAATGCTGATAGATCCCGTCGCATTAATGTATTGCACACAGGTTTCGGTTATTCCGCTGACAACTTTGGTGAATATTGAAGCATGACAGGAAAGAAATAACAAATATCTTCCGGACCTTTTAGCAGACGTGGACTAAATAAGAATGTACAAAAAATTTCACACAGCATACGTATCTGTCTTACCACATTAGTGGTATTAAAAAATACTTACCATTAACCCGTCCTTCGGTAGCTCAGTTATACAGTTACTCAGGTCCTAGCGCTACACTCGTGTACCTTTGACGAAACGTAACACTAAATGGAGACCAGGGGATTCAAATCTACCAGGCTTCAGGCTCTGATTTTAGGCCATATAGGTTTCCTTTTTGGTAGCCGGAAGCTGATAATTACCAGAAAAGAGAACTTAGGACATCGGTCAGGCAATTCATTGTTAGGACAGTTTTTCTGTCGTTCCGTATTTAACGATGTTGTTCAGTTTCGTACAGGCCAAAAAATTTTAACGATATCTCTTTAATTATTTCTAGCTGACGTGACGTAAAAGGTGACGACACCTTTATGTGGCATATAACAAGGACATTTATTATGTGTGGCGAAGGTACTTACAAATAGCAGGTTTGCTTGTTAACGTTCTACTGAGTTGTGTTCATAAATAAAAAATTGTTTGGGCCAAAAAGCCCCGCTCGAGACGAAATGATGACCTTCACAATGCGAAACGACGCTATTTTTATGTGTTTCGTCTTACAAATGGCATTGCATTTTATTGCAGGCCCAAGCTTTTCCATCATCAAATACTGTGCAGACAAGATTCCAAGTTGCTGAGTGAGTGACCTATATCCCGTTTCTAACCTAAATACCAGAGCCGCACCAAAAAATTAATTTCGGCTGGGTGAAGGGATAGGGCTAGGGTTAGATTTCACGAAGTGAAACTTTCGGTTGATAGCGACTATTCAGGTACGATAGATAGGTCGTGCTTTTAGGCTCGGTATTGCTGATCGGCGAAGTAGAAGTCGACACATAAAAGTAGAATAGATAGGGGACAGAAAGCGAGTACGCAAACGACGACGATGATATTTACACAAAAGAATTGTTCTCAATTAATAATGTATTTTTTTATTGACTAGAAAGTAGTCAATAAAAAAATACATTATTAATTAATTAATAAATAATTAATAAATACTACACAGAAAGTGTGTAGTAGTAGTAGTAGTAGCAACAACTTTAAATGTGAAATACATAGAAACAGAAAGGGGCTGTTTATTTTGCAAAAATAGTTTGATTTTATAATAAACACTAAATAAAATTAAATAGAATAACATCGGTGGTCTGTGTCACAATACGATTTAATTTGAAACATTCACTCAAAATGGTCTTTTTAGGTAAAAGGGAATATATATATATATATATATTTATATATGCAGTATCTGGTAGCAGGTTTGCGCCACTTGAGTTCACTAAAATATTCTATAGAGAAACTTAGAGAGCAACTTGAAGCCCACGAATGATACAGAGGGTAATAACTTGTGCGTGAGTAAAATTATGGGCATGAGTTGTGCCATCAGTTCATTGGAGGCCTGACGAAAACGGAACAAATACTTTCTAGGGTTAGTGGAAATGCTTCCAATAAGCCGACTATACCAACGAATGGACCCTCCGTGAGAGAATGCGTGACAGCTACGAGGCTAAGCGCGCGAACTTCATGGCTGCTATACCAATGTTCTAAAAGTCTCGAGAGCTGCAAGCTATAAGGCACTCTTGGTACCCAAACATCACCCATAGAAAATTGTTAATTTACCAGAAAAGCGTAATCTGTGTAGATCCTGCTATAAACCTGCGTATGCCATGACATAGGGAAGAAATATACATCGTGCTTTTTAAAAGGACGTTCGTTGGTTGGGGCTACGTAGGTAATATGCCACAACGTCCGTATTATATATAAATGTTTTTGATGACCTGGGGCGAAAATTGCATTACGGAGATTACTGGGCGCCAAAAGGTTAAGGGATATATTTACTCAATAGAATTACAATTGCGCCGACATATCGACAGCAGATATTCAATTGCCGGAAGATTGTGCTTTTGTGTTCGCTGCCTGTTTTCCTACACTTGTCGCTTTTCTGGGAAATGGGTGCCGTTTTTTTTAAATATTTCAAACTTATCCTCAACTGCTGGAATTGGCTCCTCAGATATTAGCCCCTTATCGTAGTTTGGAAAGAGAATCCGTAAATAAAAGGTTCAGAAGTTCGGAAGGATACGACTGTTCAACAGCTTGTAATCCAATTCGCACTTTGTTTGGGCACAGATATGGCCCGATTTCAGGGAACTGTAGATGTACTAAGAACCGGAAACGTAGTCGGAGTATGCTAAACGGACCTGGCATCCGATCTCGTGGATATATTAGAGTGAGGAAAAGACGTACACTCACTTGGAAGCTACAGGCAACGTTTCCCAGCCAATTTTTTTTAATGGAACGTCTTGCAAGTTTGTGTGCAACCTTGGTGGTAATCTACATGTGTCCTGTCTACCGTTTGAAGGCAGCCGCGCGACCGCTGAAGCACCTCTCTGCAACGTCTCTTTCTATAATAACATCAGGCTGAAGCATCCCGGCTCCCTATGGAAATAGCTCTCGCTCAGTTTGAGAGCCACCAGATCATTGTGAATGAAGGTGACAAAGCCCACATGTAATTTGTCATTGTTATTCCAACCATACTAGAATCTCAAATGGTTCTCGTAATCTTTTTTCTTTCTATTATTAAATGAATTTGAAAGTTACCTTTAAAATTGCTGTTTAGGCTGTAATCACTTTTTATTACACAATATCAGTTACATTATTGGAGTTATCAATGGCAAGTTCCACACGACGCTACCCCAGATTGCCGAGTATCGTTTCAATTTTTTTTAACGTTTATCATTTTTTTCAGTCGAGCACAGTTCTGGCCATACACTATCATCTGGTTTTGTACATGACTGTTCTGGCGTTAAAAGGGTGTGATTAGTGCTCTGTTGAGCTTATGTATTACCCGACAGCGGGTCGTCAATCGACATCAGATCTGCCCCTCGTTTCAGTGGCCGTCAATGGAATGGACGGCCGATGTTTCTACCAGTTATGATAGCCATCGCCACCTCTTAGATTCTAGACCCTATTTTTCTGAACTGCTTCATGCCACCTTGTGTTTACATCTTAGCGCAAACAGGTATAAATAATAAATGTACAAATTGTAAACGTCTTTCCTTGTGTAATACAGGCTTAAGTTCTCTCTATATGGGGCGTGTGTTAGACATAACATACCGACAGTAATCGCAATTTGATGGTATCTATTGTCGCAGCAGGGTATTACTGATTGCTCAATAATGTCTAATTACTTACATGAAAATGTCTAAATAACCTATATGAAAAGGCTGCTACTGCTGCTTTTATTGTCGGTGACAGGTTAGTAACCTACCTTAGCCCTTCTTTGCGTCCCAGGTACTTTCCCAGGATAAGGGTAGGAATCATAAGGCTCAACACCAAACGACGCAGGAATGGCGCAAACCAGCCTGCGACAGGCAGGGAGAGAAGGACACACGAGACCTTGTTAACCTCGCAAACTCATTGTACTGGTTAACATTCTTCTAGACAGCTAATAGCTCCGGTGGTCGCTGGGTGAGGAGAAAACGTAGGCACCAAGATCTAAATTTTTAGAACTCACCCAAGATATTCTATCCTTTTTTAAATCTATACATTGTAGAGTCATACGGCAAGACTCGCTTAACCGATACAATCATTTATAGATTGGCACCCGAGATACATCCTGTGGAATAAGCATGCTAGACATGATGAACCACAAAAAAATTAACGACAAGAAACCTATTCCATAAGATTGTCCATAAGAAAGTCTTTGTGACACTTGAAAGCAGCAAAGATTTTCTAATAATATTCTAAATTCTAATAACCTAATAAAAGCCTGGGAGGTTGCTGACAGAAAAACGTGTATACCGTAACTATGCTTACGTAACTATGCAAATACGATTTTATTTGTCCTAGTTTTCCCTCTCTTTCTGTTTTGATTTGTTGGCTTTTTGTCATAGAACAGTCGGGCGCCGCCAAAAAGATAACCCACAACACACTTAGGTATTCCATATACAGGCTCAAAATACGACGAAAAAGCGCCAAGAGAATATTACCGAAAAACGCGGAAGCATAATCTTATACTGCTCAAAAACAGAGAATCAACTCAGCATAAAGCAACACATGAGCATAAATTAGGAACAGAAACGGGAACATCTTAGAATTTATTATATTTCTAGTTCCTAATGCATGTACAGGAGTGGGAGCACTATTATAATTACTATTAGGCTTAATCAGCGTTCAAAATTCGTTCTGTCCCTGTCTTCTTCTGCAATAGTAATAACTTTGACCACAGTGCCTACCCGTTACATCGAGATGATTAAGCACCTGGTCTAGAGGGAACTATCGTTCGAAGTTCGGTTATAGGTTGCACTATCGCTGCCCTAAAGTTCTCTGATACATCTTCTCTAGGGAACGTAAAGTGCTTTACTGCTTCATCTTCTATATTTCAATTGCATTAACGACGCAAATGAATCAGATTCAAAGAGCTATTCTCTACTTAGGCTTAGGTAATCAAAATATCTGCTAATAAAAATATCAGCATGGTTTCAAAGGTCATTTGAGCGAGTGCGCCGGTGGTCCTAGCTGATGATAATGATACTCGACGAGCGGAAGGGGAAGACCGATGTTCTATGAGGGGTTTGTGCCGAGTTCCCGGTTGTTAAACGCATATGAACGTGGCAAGTTTTTTCGCCTTGCTAATTCAAACACCGTTACGCAGAACTGAATGTGTTTATGTAAATAATATTCATAGTTTACCTCTAAGTCGCCGTCGGATCCCCATGTGGTAGTTGGAGGAGGGGGCAGAATTACACTTAGGAGTTGAACACGTGGCGTATGCCAAGCGTTATCGAATTAACATTTGAAATATTTAGGATATTCATTGTTTATGTTGCCTCGTTGTTTGCCATACAATCATACACAATATGGTGAAGCTTATTGTTAGTGCTAGTTGAAGCTCGTCTACTAAATCGCCTGCTCGAATGTCATAAGTGAGAACGAGCAAAATAATATTTTCGAAGTGATTTCTTATGGAAACTTTTCCCTTTATATAAATTCCCCTTAGACGACTTACGCTTTGATAGCCTGAGTTATAGTGGATTTTTTGTCGCAATCTATCGTCGTATTCCGTAGATTCTCGTTGGATCAGGCGGACAATCTCGTTGGACGTCAATTGGATCAGGCGGGGCATTGTTTTACTATAGGCCACATCGCTATTTCTGTTATTCACGCGACGAATCGCACGGGTGAATTCGTGAAGCCGGCAGAGTACCGGCCTGCTGTTATGCCAAGCCAAAATCGTTGGATTTAACTATTCGGTACGGTACTTTGTGGCTTGAGCTTTTACAGTGCGGGATGTGCGCATATTTATACGTAAAGTAGTTTTGCGCTCAGGGCTGGCAATGTCTGAACGTAGCGCGGAAGAACACCATTGTATAGTCGCGAGAGCGGCATGTTGGTGTTATAAGTCGAGCGAGCATGCACGTCGAAAGAGGATGGTAACAATGTCGATGGGACAGGGTCTCGACGACGCAAGGCTTTTGGTTCGTCATCAGAAGTAACGCATCTAATACAATGTATTTATATCATGAGCCTGCCTGCCTGCCTATTCTGTTGTCTAGCGTGCTGGAACGGAAGGTCGGAAAGCCGTCAACATTTGTAGCATCAGCAGCAAATGCTGGTCGTATTCGGGTCGTGACATCCTGCGATGGGCCCCTAATGTAGGCAATGGTTTGCAGCGCGCTTCAACCTCGTGTCCACTAGCGAATAAATGGCAACCAATGACATACACACGGACGTACGCGCTGGAATCGACTCATAAATGCAGACACGGGCCTCGTTCCTCTTCTGTGATAGATGCATATTATTGCGCGTGCCATATGCATTGGCTGGCTGCGCGTCGTATCCCGTTTGTGCTGGAAAGGGGTACGATGGACTCAGGGATTAGTTAGGAAGAAAGGGGTAGGCACAGTTTGAACTATCTAGTGACCAACGTAAACGAGGTGGTCGGGTGCGTATCAAGTGTTGGGTCACTCGTTTGGAAAAAGAATCGTAACGTTAGCTATCCATCCGTCTATTCCATGTATGAACGCCGACGGTCGGTCACACTGACATCAGATTGCGCCACACGCTTGCTGCTGACTGAAGTGCTGCTTATATGCATGGTATATTTGACGACGAGTACGAAGTAGGCTGTAGCACGTGGCCTGTTAATGATTTAGGCTTTTACAATACGTCAATCGTACAATCAGGCCGATCATGCATTTGGGGTTATCTAAGCGAAGTATCCACAAACATTCACAATGCTACACGTTAAAACGACACGTAATTGAAAAAAGACGTGATTTTCATTACTGGATATTGTTCTGTGTAGTATGGTAGTGCGTAGAGATTTTAGAACATATTCTTGCTACATAAAATCGACAACTGTTTCTACCTTGATGTTAACCAACTCATTAGGTCAGCTTATACCATAATCATCCATGGTCGGACATACATAATCCAGTCCATACAAATGACCACCTATAAATACTCCGTCTGTGAGAGAAAAGATCGTGAGTTCATCATTCCTACAATTCTAGTCTGAAACCTTATGAGTGTAATAAGTTGTAACTTCAGTAAACGGAATAGCTATATTGTTGTAATGATTACTATTGAAGTTATTATCCTTACCGATAAATCGCTAAATAACTTGCTTTTGTATGTCGTCTAGACTGTGGGTTATCTTCTCCTTTAGTGGTTCTGTTTCAGTTATATTGAAAATAAGAAATAAAATGAAAAAAAAAATAGCGGAAATGTACTCGGAACGATACTGTTTGTGCGTGATCAATTACCGATCGGAATTTCTGGATCAATTGTTTCATTCGCAAGAAGACGACTTATTTCTAGATAAATTCTATTAAAGTCTTCTATTACTCTCCTCGTGTAGACGCTCATGTTGTAAAATACGCACAAACGTAGTAAAATGTGCATATAATCCTTACGTGACCTAGTATAGGTTAACGGATTATGCCATCACTTCTTATTGATAACATTGAAAATAAAAATTGATGAAAACATACTCACTCAGTTATTTAACTGGCTATTTGACTGATTGATGGAAACGCAACGTTCCGAATCTAGTTGTGTCGCTGCTTGAACTAAATACAGTCAAAAAAAAAAGTTAGATATGATAACTCATAAGTTACACTCACTGTTCTTGAATTGATAGCAAGACTATCGATCAATTAACTAGAATAGCAACGACTCTTACGAGCTGTTCTACGTGTATATATAGAGCATATACGTAGAGCAGCTCGTATAGTAATAAACTTGGCTTTTCTATTCTTAGCAATATCTCTGCTGGTGATTCTGAGCTAAATGAATAGCGATACATATCAGTCAGTAGAGGCTCGGTATACATCATTGGTACCTATTCACTGTCACTGCTGCCGTTAAGGGCTGTCTTTCTTCTTTCCGTGTTTAAATAAAAGGTGATCGCATAGCTCGGAAGCTATCAAAAGCCAAAGCCATTAATAGAACGAATCTGTGTTTTGCAAGTGATAATCTGTCACACGCTTTTGCAGCCAACAAAAATCTAGACGAACACCAGCTGTCTCTTATTGGGCAAAAAATAGAATGTAATGCCCATATTCAGTTGTTTTCTGCAGTCACCATCGATAGCAGTCCGGCACACGAGCTGGCATACCGACCTTGACACAGGACACAACTCCATCATATGGGGGTCAAGAGCGATTCGTGATCTTCTTGATAATTTTCCCAGCATCCATCTATTCGAAAGTGCGTAAATCTGTCCATGTTGACTGAACATACTATTGATTCCACTTACTAAGTTTCAAGCTTGAACAGGCATCGAATTCGAAGCAAAGACGCCTAGGCTGGCTCGGCTGGCTGAGTAAAACTGAGATACACTTTTGTCGTCACCGAGGGTACTGACAAGCCTTCTTCAGCGGCCATCGGAGAAATTGCCGCTCGACAAGGATATTCGCGCCGCTGCGTTCTGCAAGCAGTTAAGAGAAGTATTGCAGACACTTACAGCAATGCTTTATTTAACTAGCGTGAGCACTCTCGATGAAGGACTTCGAAGATTCGGTTGTGAAATGTGTTGGAACGCATCGAAAAGTATATAGAAAGCCTATAGCATTTCTAAGAAGGAAACTTATTTTTTCGAAAGCTGATTGACGAAACTAACTGTTAGGCTGCACATGATTGACGTTGATTTAGGTATAAGGTACTAGCATGGCTTACGACTAACTTGAGCTTATACTTGGTCTATTGCAACATAACTGGTAAGTTATGTTGCAATACCAAAAATACGTATGCGAATCGGAAACCCTCTTGCTCTAACCTAGGTGACACGGGAAACTGGCAGCCAAAAAACAATTCGGCGAGAATATACCATCCCTTGTAGAAACTGACAGGCCTTCGGAGCGCATAGAAATGTTAGCCATTTTACTGTGACCTATTGTAGGACAACAAGGCCTTAGATTAGGCTCTTTCGACCCTCTGACAAATTTCAGCACAGAACACAAATAACGCAGCGTAAAAATCCACGTAGTCAGAGTGAACAGTTAAGAGAAAAGGCCAGCTTTTAACAAGAGGGTTAGCACTGTCCGTGTTCCAGGTCAGCCCTTGTGAGGGTGCGCTAAAGTTCGTGAATAGTGGAAAAGGGTGCGTCCTGGTTAACTCAGACACAATTCGAAGCATAACTACTCTAAATGGTCAATGGCAGTGAACACCTGACAGGTTTGTATGGAAGACAACAGTGCCATATCAGTTATACACGCTTATATGATTGTGATAATCTGAATGGCTGGTGGCTTTTCAGGTCTGCGATTTGTGGTGCTGTTCTGCATGTTCCCACGAATATTTTGGGACCTGGCTCGCGTAAGCGTATCACTGGGTTCTTGTGAGAATTGTCTACGACAGCCTCAAACGACAGCCTCTTTTGATGCGTCGGGTTGGGGTTTAACATAGTCATGTCGACTGAATTTCACATAAGCCGCTCAGTATTCTAGTTAAATCCTAAAAACTACCCTACACCTAGGTTCGGCTTTACCCAGACCGTCATTTCATCGGCTAGAAATCCCTTGTTAAGGAAAGACATCGTATGGCGTGCTCGACGCTATCAACAAAAGCAAAGCAAACAAATAAATAGACGGATTAGCTCGTTGCAGTTATGCATAATTTTCGGCAAACGCAAGCAGTTTTCGAGTAAGCTTCTTCGTTGGGACCGAATAAGCTTTTTTTTTCCTAATATTATACACTTTCCAAGGTCCTGGGTAAAAGTTGTGTGCCGTACAGGCACTGATAGATGATTCAGACCAGTGAAATATAGTAAGCAGGTCTTTACCAGGTATCCTATTATTTATCGAAGTTATTAACCCTCATAGGTGCCCCGATTTAGCCTATAGAGTCACAAATTGTAAGTATTAAGATTTAAAATATCTGTGATCGCTGCAATGGTAACAAAGGGATTTGTTTTCTAACAAGTTTATGTTACATAAAGGAAGATTCATTTGACGGCTAACGAACTAATTTCAAGAATTCGGCAACGCATTGGTAAAAACAAATTATCTGAACGTACACGAAAGACGTCGACCTTCAACTTAAGTTTTTGAAATGTCTGGGTACTTGACAATCTTCAGTCGAGCACATCGGGCGATGCACTTTAAAATCTTCGGGGTTACTACTGTAATTAGGAGAACTATACCTTTGCTAGAATGACTACATAAAGCGATCAGGTTTAAGTTAGTGACGAGTTTAGGGATAATCTGCGTTAGACCTAATCAGGGACACGCAGCGACTGTTCGGATGGCCTGAACCAGCAAGGCTCTCTAACAAGATTACCACGTTAAAGGGAGGTTGACGTCTGTCGATTTCCAAAAGCATTTGTAGTGACATCGTCACTGCTCAATAAAGCTGTCTTTAGTCTCCAAAATCCATAAAAGGAAACATCGTGTTTTCTACATCCTATAACCTATTATTAAATCCTATCCTACTTCAAAATACTTCCCAGAACGTCGTTTTAGACTAACCTATATCTGTTCTTATAGTAAATATATAATCAATACTTACCACACATGCCCCTAGTTTAGGCTTTGTGCGAGAACGTCCCAAAGAAAAAAAACCTCAAACGTTGCGTAGGCCGATAGTTCGATAAGCGGGAATAATCTGAGACAAATAAGTTGCGATATCATGAGCTGTTATTCTGCGACTTTTTCTTGCCCATCGCGGTTACGTAAATCCATTAAATTTAACTATAACTACCCGTCCATAAAAGATCTTAAAGGACATATTGAATTATTCTCACCCGTGACGAATTTGACCGTCACCAGTACGATTCTGGCCGAAATACAAAAGCAGAGATCACCTACAGATAAATCAAATATATTTTCTCGCCATTGCCGTAATCATCCAACCACTTCCCTTTAAAAGAAGCGTTTTGTGGTTTTATGATAGAATGTTTGTTCATCTGCTCCTTCTGTGTTTATTCGCTGCTTCTAAAGTATTTCCAAGCAAGTCGTCTAGTTCTGGCGATCCTTCTCTACCGTCTTTATTCAATTGGTTTTTTGAAAATGGTGCGGTTCAGCTGGCTAATGCATAGCCTTTAAAAATTGTTGCCATTACCTAACGAGCATGCAGCCATGCTGGTACTACTCTCACCGCTGACAAAAATGATCATTAGAAACAGATAATTGACGATCATACAAACGATTTCGAAGCATCGCCCTGATAGGCCCTGCGCAAACTCGTGCGGCGATTTTGCTCCCACGCATAAAGACTCCTGTTTCACACTCCTGAAAGCCCTGTTTCACATTTTCCTTCACAAAAGCCTTTCGACACAAAAAAAAAACTCTACAACAAAATGTACCTTTTTGATTAATATATAAGAAAAACGAAAATTGACTTTTTTTTTTCAGCGATCAATTAACTGAGTTGCATTTGGAAGTTCTCTGATTGAAAAAAGTAGAAAACTTCGAAAAGATTAATAGAACTGCTAAAAGATTAATCAAATTGACAGTTTTAGATAAGTTGAGAAAAAACGTTACCGCCGTTTTCGTCTATGGGAAGAAAAACTCGAAAAAAAAAAAGCTCAGATGCAACGTCAAGCGGATTTGGTAGGTTCAATTGACACAGCAGCGACAGCGGCTGTTTGATAGTGCAAATACTACTACTGCAAACGCTTACAAAAATGATCTTTTCAAGATATCCTCTTGAATTTTTCTATCGTTATTTGTTCTGTTCAGATCTTGTTCTGTAAATTGGGTAATAAGTATATTTAAAATTTAAAAATTTACTCCCGTTTGTATATATTTCTTTATGTGGAATATCCTCGAAAAGACAAAAAATGGGTTTTAGTCTATACAGAGGACATTTAAAAAAGCAAAAACCTGTTGAAAGAAAAAGAACGATAAAATCCTCTTCTGTCATGATTGCATTTAGATGATACACGAAATGATTTACACCTCTCTGACTATATGAGGCCTTAGCAAGTTATTTAGGAGACGGCAGAAGTCTATGACAAGCAGACAGATGGCTTACCTAATGCGATGGTCCGCTGTGGGGGGGGGCTGGTATCGATTGCATTTGCCTCTCGTCCTTAAAGATTCATTACCACTTCAACACAATGCTGCACGATTACATATATATATATATATATATATATATATACAACGACCACCTGCAATACGGTGCAATATAATAAAGCTATATGTAAGATACTCATTTTATTTTAAGAGAATGGCTCTTCTGTACATTGATTGAATGATGATAAGTAAATTTCGCCAAACGGCTGAAACGCCACCACACCCTATACGCATCGAACATTACTAAAAAAGTAATTAATTGATTGCAACTGATCTCTTCTATGAAGCATTATGTAATCAATGGAACGGCGGGGAGTCATAAATAGAAAGCGTAGATTTTCGAAATACTTCATTATCCTTACGCCAGCAGAGGTCTAGCGTGACGGATGCATGCCCTTAATTGAATCAGGACTCCACTTAGCCCACGCAGATGTGCTATCGGTGACGAGATATCGTCAGGCCGTCTGTATAACTACATGTACAAGAATACAGATCAACTAACCGGAATAAACTTTTGTGCCGCTGCTTTCACAAGCTGACCGCTAATAACGAGTCTACTAATTACCAAATCGAACGAGCATTCTCACCACAGCAGCCCTGTTTTCTAACGCGCTTCTTTAGATTGTAACTCATCATCATAGAAGCGAGCATGAGGTCGTATCAGATAGCTTGTTAGGCGTTTATACAGCGGCATACGATCCGAGCAATGGAACTGGTAGAATTCTGGCTACGTGACGCCGTCCAATTTACGTACGTTCTACATTTGCAAGGTCCTCATATTTCTAACGTACTATGAATGGCGACGTAGTGACAACTAAGCACTTCTAAGATGTTGATATTGCTCTCGGAGAAGTGTTTAGGGGGGTGTGCATTTGTAGCTGCGTTAAGGTCGCCCGGAGTGAGGCGTCCACGAAAACGGTAATTTACGCGGTTGAGAGCAATGGCTGGACGCACCATTGCCCCTATTAACGCCAGCGTGGCCTTTAGTAAAAACACAGAAGCTGTATGTGGCACAAGCGGAATTAAGATAATCTGTGGCAACAGGCCGCCGTACCTAAGATGTATATACATCATATCTCTATTTAGTCTAAAGCTTCTAGTTTACTTATTGGTTGTGGATTCCCGCCCACTGGAAAGAGCTTCAGTAATGTATTAGAAACTATTGTAGGAACGTGTCCATGGCCAGGCAGCTTGTACGGAGATAGGCATTTTGGGTGAAGATTAAGCAAACCTGTCTCAGTACCTCACGCGGTGCCTGTTTTTCATGGTACGAATGCTCGAATAGTAGAATGATTGCAATCATATGACGGAACCCATAAGGTTAATGAACACTCCATCATTTTTCACAAGTATCCGTATCGGTAAACAATTGCGAATCAGACAAATGTCAAGCTTGCTCAGAAATTCCACTTCCCCTGATTCCGCCTAACGCAAACATGGCCGCTTATCTTAGATTTTACAATACATTGGTTCGGAAAGCGCTCACTCAAATTACAGATTTTTAGTATCATAATTATGATCGCAAGTACAGCAGTGGAAGCTAAGCGCGGTTTCGATGATAATTTCTTCGATGTTAATAATGAATATTTCTTCAATTAGTAAAACGTAATATTCTGATAGGCTATACTGTGTACGCTAAACACATGTAACAAAGCTGATTTAATAACAGACTAACTAAATCACTCGGCAAAACGAAACCCAGATTTGTATAGAACTCGATAGTGGGTCATAAAATCGAATATGTTAGACGTCAGCCAACGTCAGATGAGGCGACCGTCGTCATCAGTTTCTATCCACCAAATCTCTCAACTGTCCTATATATATATATATATATATATATATGAACTGTGGTGTTGGAGCTCCTGTGATGTCGGCACTACTACTAGCAGACGACCGGTAATAAACGGCACATATATATGAATATCCAGATTAATAGTAAAATGTGAAGTATAATAAAACCTGAGAGATATAAACTACGTACGTTTAATTACTTCGTACTAGATCTTAAAAAAAAATATACTTTTTGGCATTTGCAGATCTCAGCTTCAATAATATACAAGACATCGGTTGACACATGTTGAAGGGATCAAGAGTAATCTTTTGTTCGGCTAAAAAAGTAGCCTCGAAAACGCAAATCGTAATATCTGTCCTCACTAATTTTTCTTAGAAAAGTGCCGGTTTTGAAAAAAAACACTTATTAAATTCTTCTACCGGAGCCCCTTAGACAAAGGCTTTATATTGTGTCGTCACTTTCGTTTATGAAGGAAAGCATAATGCATCCGATGATATGCACACACCACGCCATATTTTAACCCTCACGAAGAGCATATGACCCGAAAGGCTCAACTGTGATATTTCGCCCAGCATATCGTTAGCGTTGACCGTAAACTATTTCAAATTGAGCAATTTGATTGGGAACAGGACACGGCCCAGACCCAGCTCCTAGACGCTAAACTTCAAATATTATTCATCGCTCATGGTAACTTTGCTCTCTGGCCTCCGTTGACGTCTACAAGGCGCTATTACCGCTCGTCTCCACCCGATGGCTATTGCGGAAAGCTCTGAAACAAACACATTGGCTCAATATAGGAACTGTGAACTTTTTTTCTTAGCTCACGGCTTCTTCTATAATCAAATCTGTCTGACCAGTCCATTAAGAAACTGTGGTAGCGTTCCACTGTCAACAATCAGGGATTAAATTCGTCTGAGCCAATCAGAAAAGTAAATGCAGTTGCCTGAGACATGCAAAATACGTAGGCATAAATTGGACCATCGAGTTCCGGGATAGAAACCTAATCTGGTCAAAAAAAGACGGTAATCCTCACCAGATATCAACCACAGCTGGTTCTTGACATTATGTCGCCGCGTAGACAGAGCAGGAAAGAGACTCTGTGGTAAGAATGTTCGTAGCCAACCCTCAAAAACCTTATCGTCGTCTGGCAAAGCCTCTTACCAAATGTAAAGCGAATAGCTTTTCTTTTTGTTTGCGTCCGATGGACATCTATCGGTACAGCCTGAATTAGTCCGCCAGGCCACTTCCGTTGCACGTGTGAGAGCCTGCTTGTGTAGGTGGCCACCAACAGCACTGAATATCGTCAGCGAACGACTGGATCAAACCATCCCTATAACTACCTCTATGCTTGCGTAGCTGTTTCTTATTTCAGTGTATCACCTGATAGAGCACAATTCGGAACAATTGAAAATCACAGTCAACCGTATCCTCCATCTAGAAACACCAAGATTATTTCTATTCTCATCATCGTCGCAAAAATCAGCGGGTATGTCTATTAGACGAATGGCGGTCCGTTGAATGAAATAGCAAAACTGAAAACATAATTTTTGTGACAATGTCCACTTCTACCCGAAACACTGTGACATATGTAGAATAATGTAGTTTAAAAAAAAAACATTCTTCGTGGTACTTTCTTTTTTTTTTTTAGCTGAGCAACCAGTAATTATAGTAACACTTAATCACCGATAAAACCTTGAACTGGGTTTACCGGCTTCCCAGGTTTTCCAAAAATTAACACGAAAACGAAAATAACCTAGACATTGTTTGCACAACAACACAGATAATCTGTACATGAGCTGATCATCCTATTTACGTAGTACACTGTTATGTACCATATCAGAAGCTCATTTTGAAGCGTTTGCTTCTGTAGAATGCATATGATTCTATTATATGTTTCAGACGATCAAATCCGATATCCAATATCAGATAAAGTATGATAGATTATTGAGTTCGATTCCTTCAGAGCCAAGTTTGATGCAATGAAGAGGACCTAATGATACTTAATCTATTGCTATTTTTGAAAAAAATGATTCAATATGGCTAGCTCAAGCATTCAGCGAAACGTTGTGATCGTGGCGCCGCCTTTTCCCTTGTGTCTTCGGTACTAATATAATTAGGATAGTTAATTTTCAACTATAGGACGTACGCTCGTGCCTTTGACAGCTGCACGCCAGCTAGGACTGATCACAACAGACAAGATTAATCCGCTTCAAATTACTCCTAGTACTATTACCTACTATTTCAAGGCCCTACATGAGCCGATAGGGCATCTATTTGATTCTGGTTACTCATCTGCTATCCATATGTTCGTACCTAGCTGAAGACCGGTGTGGCTGTATTTTGGCTTTTTGAGATAGGACCTGTTACAATCTATTTTTCATAAAAAAAAGAAACAAAAAAAACCTAAAATTTGTCTTTACTCACTAAATTACGTTTAAAACTTGTAGACAAATTCATAATGTACTTTATGCATACGCGTATAAAGCTAGGCCCTATTTGCAATAAATAAGAGAAAAACAATTAAACAGGCAAAACAGCAACATAATGTTACGCTTGTGTGACTCGAGTCGAAGCAATACGAAAAGCCTTAAAGGCCTTCACCAGAAAACTGGCAATTTCAATTGAATCACACAAAACAAACCTCTTCTCTAGAATGACCAGTCTCATCTACAACACAATACACAAAGCACATCTGTTCCACCTGTTAAAGTCCTCGTGAAGCCTGCACTATGGGCTGCGCCACTTGTCCTTCATTATTGTTTCCATGTTCTGCGTATCTAATATTTCTTTTTTTTTTAAGTTATTTTTTTTTAGTTTATTGGATAAAATGAAAAGTTATAGTTAACCCAATCGAGTAAATACAGATTTTAGATTCAGTAAGAGATAGTAATAGGGTAACAAATGATTTTTCGTCAGTACCAGTAAAGTTTATATAACTACTATGTTTTCATTCTTAAAATTAGATAATAAACGTATAATATAAAAGATGATATAAAACGCATTGGAACGTATTGTCAAATTTACATACATAATACTTTTACTCTACCAGATCATCGATTTACTGTAGATTATTGTAGGCTTCGCATTTATATATATATATATTAGAGCACAGACAACTAATTCGTAAATAAGCAACGAATCAATAATGTTACTCATCATTAAAAGTTTTGGTAAATTGGCAATCTGTCGACGAAAACAGTAAACAGCGAATTTCTCAGAAATGGTCCAACATGAATTTTATTTATTTCCATAATTATGTCAAAAACATGATCCAAACTAGCCAGAACGTTTATATATGTACAAAATGAGTCTGTCAAAACCTCTGATGAAATTGTCACAACACTCGTCTCAGGAAGGAAAGTTTCTGGATCTTGTTCCTGATAAATGAATCTTACAAAGTATCCTCCAGGCTGCCAATCTCAGTCTCCTCACCGAGGAAGAACAATGTGTCTTTCAGAACTACCAGGAAAAAGAGCTGCAGTCGAACAACAAGACGCCGCTGCGGTCACTATGAGCTAGTACTGTCAGTATACGCTTGCACTAAAGAAGAATCTAGCGTAAGACGTGGGTACAATCGCAGTATAAAGTACCTTACGCAAGTTGATGGACGCGCCATGTCTCGTTAACCGCAGCAAACGGACGAGTATCTTTTGAGCTATATCATCTTCGAAATACACACCAACATAGAAGCTATCTTACCTAAAGATATTTTCGCACTTGTCATCATCTAGACATTGAAGAACAGGCGCTGAACCGAGACTATTTTGTACGACGGAACGCCATAACTGTTATGCCTACCGTATGCCTAACGCAGCGTGCGTGGCCCAATACTTCACCTGACAGGCCAACGGATCAATTTGAATGCTTCTAGCATTGCCTAGAAAATCCCAGGCGCTCTGTCAAAAGTTACTCACCATCCCTCAAGAAATAGCGGTCAACGAAGTGTTTTTGAAGTATCTAAAACGACTTCAAGCAAACACTTTCTACCATAGGGCGTCCGAGCTATATTGCGATGACGCACGTGGGCTCTTGCAAAGCTGCCTCAACCACCACACTTTGCCACTATTTCAGACAACCGATTTTCAACATTCCTCTCGAAGGGACCTTATTGAGGCAACAAAGGGCCGGTTTGGGGCCCAGATTCACTAAAGGCAGCGATGTCGATTTTGCCATATGCCAGTGAGCAAACGTCTGCGTGATAATGACTGTCCGAACTTTTTTTTGTAAAAAGGCATTCTGGAGCACATTCAAAGGAAAGGAAAGGAAGAAGAAAATGAAGATAGCGATAAAAGAGTTCGAAGCGATTGTCCTGATCTCAGGTAGATTAAAGCGTACTTAGAATATTATACTTGACTTTGCACGGCTCCTAACTCAGACCTAAATCCAATTTTCTGTCGGCTATCTAAATTGATTTGAAATATGTCACTTGCGTTAAGGCTCCTCTTGTGCTTGTTATGTTCGCATTGGGCAATTTGAGTGCAGGTATACAAGCAAGTAAGCCTTTAAACAACGGTGGTTAGTAATTGCATCAAGGTTTTTTTACAAGTGAATGTAAATTTATACATCCTCAAACCACAAAAATGTACCTTAGCCTATTCGATCATACTAACCAGGAAGTATTGCAACATATCGTGATAGGGTTAAAGCAGGGTATCGTAAATTTATTATATTCGCATCTTTGCATATAATTTTCTAAAAATACCATGGTACCATGCTCAAAAGTTTATTTGTGAACGAATTGATCCACAAGATAATGTACGTTCATTTTCCCAACAAAAACACATTTAGCATGGTATATTTTAAACCTTTAACTTACCCCTGCCTGAACGATTGCGAAAGATGTCTGGGTGCGTGTGCTCGGGCATCGCCGAATGCGATTTCAACAGTCGAGGAAGGAATTGGCATATAGCGTAGACGACGCGAGGCCGCTTGCTGGGATGCATATATGACTAGCGGTCAAATGTGTATAGTCTTATCTTATATGGAAGTAGCACCACGACGCAACCTAAACCCGTGAAGGCTTAGCCGAGGGGTCTGCGGCCATTGTTTACTGTGGGCCGGCATTGGGCTATGTGAAAATTCACAGAAGCAATGTAACTTTGCCGTATATTGATCGAAGTGAAGTACTTTCACTTCTTAGTCCACGAACGAACCTAATCGTTATAGAATGAGTAAATAACACAGACAAAGACAGAGAGAAACACACAGAACGAACAGGGAGAAGAGGTAGGGAAGTATATTCACAGTATATCTTAATAGTGTCCAAGTTTTAATAACAATGTTGACAGTTGAAGAACTAGGCGGTATAACTTTGTGTACCAAACAACATAACACATGGAAATTCAAGAAAAAAGCACGAACCCAAACAGCTGAGAGCTCTCGTGGTAATTAAACCACTCAAATAAAGATTAGCTTGGAAACAAATCTTGTAGGTCAATCTTTTAATTTTCCCTTTAAACATCTTAACGAAAATACTCAACTTTTTCAAGGTAATGTTCCCTTAAGTTTATTTGTATAGCCTAACTTATATTGCTTTAAAGTTAGCTGAAGTTTGCCACTATGATTTGCCACTAATTTTTTTCTTTAAACACGTACGGAACGTATGTATTGGTCATACTATAACATCGTATAATTATGTAGAACCAAATGTTGCCATATGGAGTAATTCAGCTCCAGAGAAAAACATTGGAATATTAAAGTGTTCGAGATTCTAAATCAATGGATGTTTTCCTTATTAAAAGGGCGTCTGTGCATGTGCTGAAAGTTACTTGTAGAGATCACGAACAGAGATCAGTGGCCATATTGACGATTAAATGTCTGGTGAATTTCGCCATCCCGAAGTAATAACAAAATATTCGTTATATATTCGATATATAACGCGCGACCGCTCAATGTCAAAGCAAAACGAGCTCAGTTCACGTAATATTTGCGCCAAAACAATGAGTTTCATAGAAGTATGGACCATCACCACATCTCTTGCTAACTACCAGAATTAGCTCGTACCTCTTCGTAATTTTTTTCTTATCCTCTGTCTTCTATTCCGAGATTTACCTTCACCTAACTTCTTTAGGTACCAAATCTAACGTTAGGTAGTTACACAAGTTAGTGTAGGACCTAAGGCATTTTAACGGGTAGTGCATTCTCTTATTCGACTATCGAGAAGTATTACCCATTACTACTGTTGTAGAACTAGGGTTGAACTTGCATATGTAAGTTATCTTGCTTCAACCGTTCCTTTGTAAATATTTCACTTAAATTTTATCTGACTCGGTCTTTTCGTTCTAAAGGACGATACATGCTAATCAGCTTGTGCACGTTCAGATTTATAATGCTTGATAATTTATTGCTTACACAACTGTAGACGTATTTGTATATATAAATGTACGTTTACGGTTATGTTACGTAAATAATAAATTATTGAACAGCTGTTAAAAGTACAAGCAAACGGATTAGCATTTACCGTCTCTTAAAACGACAAGTTCGAATAAATGTAGAGCTAAGTCTAACGATCAAAAACAGTGTGTGTGTGTGTGTATATATATATATATAGCTACATACATAATCACTTAAAGCTAATATATATCTAGTCCTCAAGGATGCAGCATTCGTTGTGTACCATTATGTAGTACTTAAGCTACAACTTGGGTCGCTCGCAACGTTTTTACTTCTTACAGCTTATAAGGTTAAATAAGTAGCAAACGCGATCTGGGGGAGCCCGAGCCAAGGAAATGGTTCGAGGCATTACTGATTAGCCTTGTAACTAAATAGCACATCGAGGGTTCGGCCTCTGAGCGCCATCTACCGGGATTTGTAATCATTGATGTTGTTGCCATTTTTTTCTGCTATTATTATGTTTTGGTCATTTTGCCCTGCCACTGATGGTAAACCTATTCGACGCAGTTCGGACGCTTCTGTATGGTCAGTCTGGTCGTACCGCTCAAGATCTTAGTTACGACGATTCATTATTTGAATATCTCCCGATCGAATTGTCTAACAGTGGGCAACAAAGCCGCGGCCTCCGTGTTGCCATCGTATACTTATACCTGCTACAACGCTCGGCTGGTCGTTGCGGCATCATCATGGCATTTCATCGCTACAGCTCATAGCAGAAGCAGCGGCAGGGGTAACCACTTGCAGCTGCTACGGTCACCAGCAGCGATAGATGAAGACATTCAGCGACGTTAATAATATTCTGGTACAACAACCCTCACTCCTGACCTGACGTTAGCACCGTTGTTGTTATTATTATCATAGTTACGTCACGATAAAAACTCGGTTAAGATCTACACTGTAATCATTTTTATAGCTAGTCGAAAAGATGACCACTTATACAACAGTTAATTGTTGTCACCCCCTACCACCCCTGTCTGTACAGCGTCAGGTGGATGCAGTATCTGATAAATTGACCAGCATTATTAATGTCTTAACCCCTTCTTCCCCTTCCAGTAATAATGGATCTCTGGTGATAAAATATTGGTGACAATGCGCCCTAGCGATAAGTTATTGTGTAGAATCTTTGCGAACGACCAGAAGCAACTGGTTGTAATACGTGAAAGGGATATCACATTATTTGGAAAGGCAAAACTATAATCAGATAATAACACAATATGATCTAGACGATTTTAACAGAAGCAGATAAAGTTCTAGTCCTCAACGCGATTCCCGAACCCCATCATTTTCGTTTCGCTAGATGTCCCCTACACATACATACACACATTGACCCACATCGCTTGATTCGGTGACCCAGCTCATTTAATTAGTGTTAGTTGAATACCTTACCAGCAGCAGTTACCTTCTACAGAATTTAAGCGCAGAAAAATGCGCGGACATATTGAAGTCCTTGGAATCAGGACTGTAAAGAGAAAGCGGGCAAGAAAACTGCAGGTTGGACTACTTACACGTTCTTCCAGCCTGTCGGGTAGATCACTGGAATAAATTAGGAACAAATTTTTCCGCTTTGCGAATATACGCGTTTCTCGACGGGAGCAAATGGCGCATTTTCCGGATACGACTGAAAGCGGTATATGAAACGGTCCCTGTCTTAACGACCCTCGAAGCTCTTCTAGCAATCATACAGTGGCCAACCGTAGCTACGCAGACGGCTCCTGTTGTCTTTTCAGTGCGTAGAAGTATCGCCTCCAATAGCAGAAAATACGGGCTACCGATCACGTTTAGGCTGGGCGGGAAACTTATATGCTACTCTATGCTACTTCATCAGAAGTGGAAGCTTCATTAGTTAGAGAACATCATGAATAGTATCGGTGGTCCGCCTTCGAAATAATTTGTCTCGTACCCTTAACTTGATAGTTCGCCGTCAGGTAGCATCTTTAGCGGGAATCAGAAAAAAGTTCTCAAAAGTGCAGGACTTCAAGGATCCGCTTATTTAAAAGGAGCCTACCGTTGCACGAACGAAATATTATCAAGTTCATATGTGTGCACAAAGCGAGGGCAGCATGGGGAAAAACAAAAGACAAATAAGCTTTAATTTACGACACTTGCTATTCTATTCAATAGACGTAGTCAACCATTACAGACGACGAGGATCTGAATCTTTCGTAGTCTGAGTGGAAGGAAATGACAAAGGGAAAATACGCTTTGATATCACCAACATCCGACCCAACCTTAAACATGATTTGTGAAGAGTCCCAAATCAGACACAAAATGGATTTAAGCCGTCGTCCATTTTACGAGAGGGCGTACATTTACACAATTCGCGTTTTGCCAACGATCATGATCTGGACTGGAATTGTATATGGAATTCATCGGATGCTGTCGGGTCGCGGCCATGATTTACCCAGCTCTATCGTACATAGGCCCACTACAAATCTGAGCGAAATGCTTAGCGTCTATGACTCCTCAGCCCATTGCAACCTTTGCGCATATAATTCAGACAAGTGTCTTCATGCGTAACTTCTTTACGTCCCGAATAAATCGTTACTTCCATTAAAGAACACGAACAAATACGTCGTATAGAAGAATTGCTTGCGGAAGTTTTATGTTTGTTCACTTTCCGTAAGGTGTTTGTCTTTCGAGTTGAAGCTAGAGTCTGTGGAGATAGACAAGCCGTGCATCGTTCACGTATTCTGGAGTTAACCTGTCCGTTACAATTACTGTCATAAGCATGATCGATATGGAGAAATAGTTGCAACCTTATATCGTCTATAGCCGTGTGGTTGTGAACTCACTCATTGGACACGTGCTGCTAAGCTCTAGGGTAATTCTACGTGCTCGCATACTGTAGATATAGCTACAAATGAAACGTGCATTAGGTGCACGCTAGTGTAATAGGCGCTGATCAGCGCGGTATTCAGAAGACGCTTTTCGTTCATTCAGAGTGCCTGACCAACGTCGTCGTATTATCAGCTGTAATTTCCATATAGAAAGCAGTTTCCTTCTGCGTCTTTGTCATTATTCAACGTTTCAAATCTATTGACTGAGTGAATAAGAATCTATAGGCTTAAATCAATAGGTGTCGACTGCATATTAATGGGTTATTTCTAAAAAGTTTGGCTGGTAGCCGTTACCTATTGTAATTAGTATATTTGGCAGATCTCATTGAACAGCCGAGAGAAAAGGTAACCCTGCTAAGTGATAGTAACTCTTTCGTTCGTTTGACTGCTTAGTGGTATTGTGAACGCAGTAACATGTTGACAATGAGACCCCAGTTTCCCCTCAGGTTTATCGAAATTGTTATTTATTCATTCCCGCTTTATTTTTATTTATTTATAATGTATTTACTCACGTGACTTCCAGTGACTCTTTGCGGCTACTTTAGCCGGTATTAACTAAAAACTGTATATACCGTTAGCATTTTCATATTGTAGCAACGATTTGAGTTGTTCTCTCTCTGTGGGAGTTTTGACGCTCTTGACAGTCGCAGCGTTCCTAGAAAATGTGTGCCTTCCTATATCTATGGTTGCCGCTATTGCAATGTTTCGAGCACGAACTGTGACGGTAATGCAGCGCCTCGCATGTTACACGTACTGTGACGTTGAAAGAAAGTTTACGGGTGGCTATCAGCGTCGGGTATTATTAGGGTAGTGGCGAACGACTAAGATAAGAGGACACAACAATGTAGCCTTGGTTGCTGGTTTCTATGAAAACTTTCTGATCGACCTGATCAATAATAACGCGAGCTTTGTTGGATATCTAGCTGACTGGCTTACTCGTGCCGGCTGTTCGATTAAGAACAGCGCTATTGCAGATCTTCTGAGATATCACGGCCGCCTGAACGATTACTGACATATCATCAACCCGCCCCTTGCCCCTACTCCAGCCTCCTTTTCATTTTGCCTTTCCAGTCATACTGTGAAGTGTTTAGCAGCAGCAGCAGCGGCGGCGGCGGCGGCATTGGTAGCAGTGGGAGTTCCAGCCTTTGCTTCGGGCACAACGTTCGACCTTGTCGAAGGTCGCTGGTGTCAACGACGGACGACGTATCGCGTCCGCATGATAACGTTACTGCAGCCATATGTATATATATTGACCGTATTCAGTTTTAACGATCACACTCATACAGGTGCAAAGAGTGCTGGTGTTTTGGCTCTTTGCAAATGGGGATTTTCCACTGTTACATACAAGCTGCATTCTAATACACTAAAACTCAAAAGTTAGCTATAGCTAAATCTTGCCAACTGATACCAAGCAGATGTCGATTAGAACGGAAGTGCTGAAGTTTTCTTATAATAGACGTGCTTTCAGCTAAATATCATTACTTTTTTCACCCTTGAACTGATTTATTGTCAAGGCCAAATAAAGGCGAAACAAAAAAGGAAAATTATTTTATCTGGCCGGTTATACTGACTGGCCATTTCACGAAACATTTTTGCAGGAAACTATTCTTTCGTCCCTCTGATGAACTAATGGCATACGATATGCAAAGTAATAGATATTATCAGGAATATTTTGCTTAACGATAGCATAATGAGGCGAGGCATCTTTACAGCGTCCTAATCTTAAAGCTAGATTGCTAAAGGTATACGACATTTCAATTTTCGAAAACCAATGATTCCCATATAACACTCAGTTAACCGCTTCGTTTCTATATATTTAATTCTGGCCATTGGAAACGTTCACTCCTCAGCGGAGGAGCCACTTTTAAGCATTTTACAGGATTTCAGGTTCTTACCGTGCTACAAGGCACCCCCACTTACTCCACCTAGGTACAGTGCTTTCTAAGAGACTTAGTGTATTTTTTTTTTGTGTAACTTGTCTCATTCAAATCAAAGAGTAGCTTTCGCAGCCGACGCCGCTGATTTTACTTAACCTGTCATTAAAATGGTGAAAATGAATAAATCGGCGCATTTGCACGAATATCTGGCCTGCCCCACAAAATGTTTGGTCGGAAGGTCGGATCGGAATCATACGTATTCTCCGGTTTTAGAAAAATTGATCGAATTTAGATAGACTTATGAATAGCTGCTTAATGAACTTACTTTAATTGTAAGTAATGATATTTCAATTGACTATGGGGATGATATTCTTCAGTTGACTACCGTTGGTGGGAATTACATACATCTGATGGTATATGATTCAGACTAGAGTCGGCAAGGCGGTCTCTGCCGTCACTCCAATGCAATGAATCAAGAAAACGAACTCTCACCGAGTGAAGGTCTAGGACCTATTTGGCGGGCGTGAAGCACGACCTTGCTGAAGCAGTACACAATAACAAGTCTAACAGTAACAGAGCAAGTCTCGCTACGCTAATTCAACATGATACCTAATAGTGCTAGCGCGGTCACACGCCATGACGCACTGTATTAAAATAACTACCCGCAGAACTATTGCTGTGGTATTGTTGCATTATTGCTATTATGATTATTGTAGCTACCATTAAATGGAAGGGACAAAGGTAAGCGAGTTTTTTCTGCATCTGATCTTCTGCTGTAAGTGTCTCCTCGCAGTTTTTTGCCGTTTTTTATGTCTGCAATCGTGAATTAAGCCGTAACGATGAACGATAGTGCACTTGTTGCGTCCTACCATCACTTTTTTTGGTGGCATTAGATCCGGACGATATTCACAGAAACCTATTAATAGCACGGTATCGTACACGTTACGCATGTTCTCAACTGGCCCCAAGCGTTGCTATTGCTAGCGTTACCGTTTTTGTTTGTCTGTCTGCCTGCCTGCCTGCCTGCCTGCCTGTCGCTTCATGCCATGCAATCACATTATTGAAGAACAGCGCATGCGACGGATATAGCACTAATAATGACGGAACAATGGAGATACGTATTTTTCTTATTGTCGACGCATCTGTCATGTTAATAATAGTAATAGCAAAACGTATGTGCATGTAAATCAGACATATCGTGTTGGTGGAAACGGCAATATCTGCTGCACACCTTCTCTCTAATGGATAGTGGACGTCTAGCCGATTCTCAATGGATACATCTTTCTGGCCTTGGATGTGAAATGTCATTCAGCTGCGTCAGAATTTACCTTCAGATGCCTTACGGCTGTCAGGAGTCCTGCTAGTTATTTCAATTACTGATGCAAATGCGAAAGAACAAGCCGCTAGCGGCAAATGCGTTGGAAATAGGAATAAAGAACAAAGCTGGAACTAACTATAAGCTTCAGCTGTAGGGCAATCTAGACCTGTCGTGGGAAATAAATCCGTAGACCTGGCCAATAATGCCGTCTTACAAGCAATGCACAGAAGGCCTAAACTAGGTTATAATATATACCATTATATGTATATAAACGCCGTTTCCTTAATACGTGCGCCCTATCTAGATAAAGGTAGCGGTAGTGTACAACTTCTTACGCAGTCGGTAAATAGCGTATGATTTTTTGGGTGTGAGTACGATGAATTAAAATGCAGGACAGAGACAGGTTAGAGTTTCGACTTGTATATTATACTCTCTGTCGGTAACAGGCCATGCATGACTCGTTGTTACTTATTGTTTCAGGGATACAAGGACAGTGTAATCCTATGAGAATGTTGGGCCCGTTGATGAGGAGCCGTGTAGTCCCTATTATAAAGAATGGAGATCTTTCGAAGGTAAAGAAGTGACATTTAGTTTAAACAATGCTGAGCTGTGATTGTCCTACTTCCTAACCTCCATCTTGAATTATGTTTGACACTACTGCTGCATTTGCTAAAACACTCGCCGGAAAAATGCTAATTGTCCTCGATCGAGCTCCACAAGATAAGCATGAGAACACCTTATTTCTTTAGTGAATAAAAGGCCTTAATTTATTGCTGATGAACTTTCCTGTCTCGTACTGTAACTGTGAGCAATAAAGTACATAGATATGCAATAAAACATTTAGCCGATGGCCCCCTGGTAGAACCGTGGCAGGTGAGTTCGATTACCAGGTTCGGATAAGTGGATATCGTGCTTACTTTGTTGTCCTTGGCATTCTCTGCACGTTGAGATCGACTTTCTCGAAATTCGCTAGCAGGATGGCCAGTATTTGGTGAAGGCGGAACCTCTAACTGCGATGGAGTACTTATTTATTATTATATATTATTTATATCACTATTATATTATATCCCACTATATACTATATTACTCCGTATACATGCTGTTATCCCTGTAAAACAATGACAAGGCTGATTATAGAAAGCCATAACGATCTGAGGTCCTTTTTTTAGGTGGATCCGCTTACTTGTTCTATACTAGCCGACATCGACTCTGATATCGATCACTATTTTATTGTATTGCAACGCATTTTTTTTCTCAACCATCAGATCGCCCCGAGCGACTGTACATCGATAAACATGAACAACAGAGTAGGCCGCTTCAGTTTTACAGTTGTCTATTAGGCCACTTTCTGCACTCAGTGTCTCCGACAGGCAGGCCGTGAATGATCAAAGTCAATTTTCTCTACTAACGAAATCTCTTATTGCCGAGAGTTTTTTTTTTCTCGATATTGTCGGTGCATAGGAATCGCATATCCGGCTTTCTGAATGAGGCCTGCCTTGAGCGCTCCACATAGAGGTTTTGGCTTTTCTTGATATTCGGTTTGTTGTCCTTACGCTGAGTTTCAATTTGTTCCTTATAACTAATGCAGACAGGATACGTAGAAACGATATCTCTAGGTCAAGAATCACTGGCCTAAAATATTTGTAGAACATAATATTTAAGATAATGATATAATAGTTCGCTTGTATTCGGCTGACTAGAAATATACGTGTTTCCTAATCCTGTTTAGAGAATATTTCTAGCTCAAGCTGCGGAAATAAGAGCATCCACTGTCGCAAATATGCCTACCATTACCATCTGAACTTTAACTGTTTCGTTAACTAATTCTAATACATTCCCAATATACAGTCAAAATAATTGCCTATTTATGAGCTCGTTATTAGCATCATAACAACCACAAAGCACTGCCCCACCGCCGCCAGTCGGCGTTTAATCTCATTATTTTTATGCTATCGGCTTGTTTTTCTGTAAAATTTCATCTCCGTATATTGGAATTGCTGTCGCCATCTACTGGCCAAATGTTTTTTTCTGCGCAAGTTTCTTCCAGTAAGAAGTGTTTATGGCGTCTGTTTAGAACAGAGTAGCTGGCGGCTGACATTAGGTGAACAGTTGTGCTTGCTCAGACAATGCTTAGGCACCAATCAATCCACTAGGGAACTAGTGGCCGTCGCAGCAACAGGATCCCATCTGACTTCTCCCTTTTTCTTTCTCCAGTCGTGGCTCTGGAATCGCGTCGTTTAACCGCTCAGCTGATTGTCGTTGTTATTGGCGTCGTTAACAAATTTCTCTCGGTCGGCGATGCGCGCGGCGCGGTGGCCCGCGGGCTCGAACCGCCGTCACGAGCAAGTCAAGGTTAGTATTAGCATTGGAAGCAAAGTAGCCAGCGGGGCTACAAATTCGTATTTAATGTGGGGGACGTGCTGCTATAGAGTGACCTACAGACGACTACCATCGTCGTGCTGCTGTGTGTCATACCCCCGTGCTGTGAAGCTGTGCTGCTGCTGCTGCTGCTGCTGCTGTTACTGCTAGACCACTTTTCTGTCCGTCTCCTAGATCCGCTTTTGCAGCGGTGGTCCGCATTCAATACTGCAGTTGATGATTCTGGAAGAAATCGAAAGGAAAACCGTACAACTACTAATAGACTCATTACCGCGGGAATGACCACAGTATAGACATAAAGCGTTTAACTGAAGCAGCATCAATTTGTCCGCTACGTAACTGCCACAAGTCTGTTAATACCGCCGTACAGAATCGACCACTGATTTACTACACGCCGCTGTGTGTTATTATCGGTTCCTGTTATTGCTGCTACTGCTGTAAGGACTACCAAACGACATCACCGGCAGCATCGAAGTAAGCAGCACAGTTACCGCCGGTATTCTGCATTAACAGCATCGGCGAAGGCACTCGCATACGTTTACAGGCGCACATTCAATAACCCTGTAGCAGCCGCAGCAGCAGTAGAGGTAGAGAAGAAGGGTGGCGGCCGCAATAGCGAACGCGACAGTGGCGAGTGCAGCGAATACTGGAAGACCGACGAAGAACGAGAAACGCATCGATGGACGGACCCCGACGCTGGCTGAGCTACTGACGTGGCAGCTGCCGCTGAAGCTGGTGTTGCCGTCGCCGTCGCCGCTGCTGCTGTTCCTGAAGCTGACAGCGGTGGCCGCGAGCATCAAGGACCCCAAGTGATCTCCTCTCCGTGGCGGAGCACCAAGCGCCCGATGATCGACCGCGGCACCGCGCGAACCTTACAGCCTCAGAAGCTAAGAAGCGTGGTGACGGTAAGGGACGACACGCAGCGCTTCTACAGTCAACGCCGCTTGCACATCGTGCATAGGATACAGCCACTATATAATACAGTCAGCGACAATCAGACAGCCAACGGATTCTGTATCCTGGGAGAAATAATAAGTGTGCATGCACTGTAGCATGAAAACAGCCACGCATGTAGGTTCGCTAGAAAATCACTGTTTTGTGTCTTGTCGTCGTCATTCAACTTTTGTCTTGTGTCTTACGTGTGTCTGAGGGAACGAAACAACGAGGCGGTGGCCAAAGTGGAACTTGCGAACTTACGTGTTATTATCAGTGCAGTCATCGCGGCAACTTGACTACGACAACTGAATTTTACATCGTCGTTAGACCGACGACGACGACGACCACAGCAAAATCAACGACAAGAAACAACTATCGATAGGGGCAGAACTTTCTATGAAATAAATCTTAATAAACGATCATTATTTTTAGTGCGTTAGTACGAAAAAGTTTGCAGAGTGTAAATTCAACTTCTCAGTCAACTGAGGCTTCGTATCTGTGACTGTGTAGAGGTGCTTCGATCTGTGCGCCGGTCGTCTGACTCGGTCTATTTTGCTCTGCAAGCAGAACTGTTGAGCTGCCAAAGCGGAGGCCGATCATTTTCTGAGGTAAATGTCAACAAAACTTAGAAAAATAACCAACCCCAATGAAGATGATCCGACCTAGGAATATGTGCGCCATGCTATATATACACAAGGATACCTGTCTGCATACATCGTCAGTATTGAAATTGAAAATATTCAGCCGCTATTTATTTTTACTCGTTCAATACAGGACTTCTTTGTGATGCAGTGCAGACGAACAGCAGAATGTGCACTCACCCCCCCCCCCCCCCCGAATTACCCGAAGGATATTACAAGACGTGTAAACTCAGAGGCTAAGCCATTTTCTGGATATTACATAAGAAAAGCAGTGCACGTGCTCGAGGATATTAGATTTTCTATTTCAGATAATTTGTTATCCCGTTCAATTTCTATACGACACTTTTACAATGTGTATTCACAAGTTTTCCAAGTTCTATCCCTTGGAAGACGCAAGTTTTGTAACTGGCAGGCATAATTCCAATGATCGAGTTGTATCTTAGCGGTTACGTTGACCTGCGAAGTTAGATCGCTGACCTATAATGCTTTCAGATTCAAGTATCAGATATTAAACTGCTGAAACTTAGGGTTCTTTAAATTCTAGTGTTATATGTATGGAACTGGGATTTCCGGCCCACGAAGCGCTACAATGCATACGGCATGCTGTCCAACGCTGACTGCGTAGATGACGTCCTAGCATTACTTTAATCAATTTAGAATCTTGTTATTATTACATTTATACTGCATGATTCTCAATGGGACATGATGCAAGGGATCAAAGAAATCCAAATAGAAAGTGAAAGATTAAAAAATTGTCGGTTATGCTATTCTTGGCCTATTCGGTAATCGGCAATATCTTGACACAGATTCGGTTAGGGGCTTACAATTATACGGCGTTTCTTGTTATATCGTCTACAAGTACTTCAGTCATAACGCCACAAAGCAGCTACCGAGATTATGGCACCGTGCCGTTCACCTTTCTCCTTTCCTGCATAAATAAGCGATGTTATAACAAAAAACGTAGATAGATTCAGATTTCTTTAGCCGGTAGCTCAGACAAAACTGTCGGATGATGTCAAAGTTTATTAAAGTGCGGCCCTGTTTGATTTAGAAGGACCGAAGCAAGCCTTCAAAGCCGCTTCATAAGTATATGCTGTACTATTACAAAACAGCTGACTTCAAAATTCCATAATAGGCCTAGTAATTTTTAATTTTTAGTTTCCGTCCACCAGAATGACAATGGTAGAATACTTTGCATAGCGCCGTTCCCTGCGGCGCAACGTTGGAACAGCACTCAGATTAGTTCTACTACTCATCATCATACTAGCTATATCAGCCAGTATAACAATGAGTGACTATTTTGATGGGAAACCCTTCACTGCGTCTGGGGTGCAATGATCAGCTCATTAAACGAAGCTGCTTGACCCCTTTATCTCAGATGGTAACTATGCACATATTTAGTTCTTTCATTGAAGTAACGATAATTGCCTCTGACGATAGCCGTTTGAATCTGTTGCCGATTTTCGCTGCAACGCTGTTCACTAACGTCACATGAATAGGACAATAACCATGATCTTACTGTTTTACATCCGTACGGCACCAATTGTAGGTATGCATACATGTCAACATAAAAGTCCACAAGAATCGAACAATTTCGTTGACCGCTCTATGACCACAGTCACTTACATACTGGTTCTACTGTGTGGGCATAGCTTAAGTTCTTTGCTGAACACAGATCAGGGACGTTGACGTAACGCGCTTGATAACGATCTTCAAGTCAATCTTTCGGGCAGTCATTGTTGGTCAATCTATCCTACTATCGTTTTTGGTATGCTGTAATACCGAGAAGTTTAAATACTCGGACGAGTATTTAAGCTGAAGTGAACGAGAGCAAACGAAGGGTACTCGCATCCCAGTATGGGCATTACCATTTTGGCAACTTACGCTTTCCTGCCATTTAGCTTCATCAGACTGCTATATATTAATTTGTTTAGGGAATTTAAATCCCAAGGTTATAACAACGTTACGGTGTGCGCTTTGGTGTGCTTGATGAACACTGACTTCATGCTCAATCAGTCGGAGCTATTAGCTAGCCGTCTTCGCTGAACCTGCCAGCATTCTACATAGGTAACGACGGTCGTTTTAATATCTAATGATTGATTATCAACACTATTACAATCGTGATATCAGAAGCGCAGGGCCAGGATACGAAATGGTACGCGCGAACAGAGGGACGGGACGGTACGAGATAGGATCAGACGGGAGAGGCGCTGGGGAACGAAACCGTCCTGAGCCAAAAACGCGCTAACAACAACTAATATCTGCTGACGTTTCGAGCTGTAACATCTTCAGGCCTTCTGCTGTCTTACGCCTTACAAAAAGATCACAGTTTTTTTAAATGTCTATTCCTTCGACGTGCGACTGTTGTCCCCGTGATAGCATAATGCGTAACAATTTGCCTGTCTTATCTTAAGGACACGTTATGGTCTAGGTCCAAATCCGGGAATAGAAGCGTCTTGTGCTGGCCATGTGAGAGAGAACTTGAAATTCCTGGGAGCTGGAAAATATATGTTAGGTGTTGTTGTGGCTACGGGTATCACCCTCGCATTTTGCGCCGTATACGGTGGACCATGAGCTGGAATCAAACCTCGGCGTGTAAATGTATTTGTATTAGTCGTAGAGGTACTGGCCCGTTGTGGGTTTGTGTAACTAGCGTTGTCAGGTGTTGCGCATTGTGGCGATGCAAATATTGACGCCATTTGTTGCTGAAAGTACAGCAGAGACCTAGTTTTTAAGAGACATCGCATGGAAAGCCGAACTAACACTCCCATTCGAAGACATAGCAGCGATCTAAGCACAGCGAGTTTGCACTGGCTAACCCTTGAATACATTAAGCGATGATGACAATGATTTGCTGGCGAACTGCGAAACGAAGCCATAGCAAAACGCCGAAGGGCCCCCTGAACTTGGCCGGCCAGGAGTGAGTGGGTCCCGGCAACAACAGAAGCAGTAACAACAAGTCGAAGATCAAAACCGACGCTTCCTGACGCCAACAGGCGACAGCCAAAGTAAAACGAGTCCGGCGTTTGGAACATTTACCGATTGAATAGCCACCGGAACAAGCTCATGTCATCCGTGACACTCATGCAGATGACGCAGCTGTTGTGGCTGCCATATTTTTAGTGCTAGCAATTAGTGTCAATACCAAAAAGGTGAACTGGTGTTCAAACAGGCGAGAACGCTTTTCGGTTAGGCAAAATGAAGAGCCGTCAACAAGCGCGGCAATTTCAAATAATGCCAAAGGCTAGAAAATTTCATACATTGTTAAACAAAGGTTCGGAGTTTGATTGGACTATGCTACAGAATAAGATTCGTATGTTATTCCAAATTCGCCGATTTAAATTCAAGTTTGCCCGTAGGCAGCTGTGTAATGTAGATTTTTATTTTTATTGAGCACTAACGAACGGTGGACATTATGTACAGAAGTTCAAGCTAATATATATCACACAAGGATAGTTTATTTTTTCAGGACAATTCAGGTACTATTTTACAGCTGACATTTTCTATATGACATTTCTAACACTTTCCTTTCTCATCTCCCCATACTGAATACATTCAGTATAGCACACCATGAAGCAACCTCTGAATATCTGTTTCGTGTTGATGAACATAAGGCGCAGTTCTGTTACATTTTTTTTCTGGACTTTCTCTGCTTTTCCCAATTTTCATTTTGATCTCATTATAAAGTTGACCTCTCTTTCCTTTACGACATGTTTCATATTTATTGATGAGATAATGATTAATGTTTAGAATTATAGAACCTGTACATAAATTATACTATTTGGCCTAAAATTGTGCAGATACAGATTCTATAATAAAATGAACTATCAGTTGAACGTTCTTTGTTCTGAACAAATACTCGGTTGTTTTATATTTTGGTTGTTGCCACCATGTGGGCATATGCATGCCGTTTTTTCAGCGGCACTGAATGTGTGCGACATAAAGCAAGTGCTTCATCAAAATGTTTGCCCCTTACAGAGTTTAAATATCCGAATAAATTTAACTATTCAATTTATTCCTATCTAAAAACTTAGTGAGTGACTGATTGATTGATAAAGTTTTATTTGGCCATGACCGCACACGACAAAATGTCAAACAACGGGCCAACGGACAACCAGTGGGCCAGCTAAAAATTTCAGTGAACCGCCTCAGCTGATTTATGCATGTCAGTAGGTCTAAACTTTTAGTACTTTGGACATGTTTTTTCTACAGGTTGTAAATAACTTTCACACCCGTGAGTATCGATTCGTTTACGATTTCTTTAGGGTCTTTCTAAAATATAATGAATCGGCCGTTTCTATCTTCGAAGCTATTATAACACTCATATAAGCCATTAACTGATGCAATGATTTGTAGTCGCCGCTTTAGGCCGCTGCCTCAGAGTCTTTGTAATTACCTTAGACACCCTGAGAGACCTCGCGCAACTCTTCACCTCACTAACTGCCTAAACCCAAGGTCGTGTCTAAGGTATCGTCATTGAACGCTCGACGGTGCTAGCAGTATTTCTACGTTTCTGAGCAGCCTCATGAATCGGCGAGTTATGAATTAAATACGACTGTAATCTAGATGCATTCACCGGTTAACAAAGCGTAACGTGTTTCGCGATCTCCACGGTATCCACCTAACCTAAACCTGTTTCGAATTGTCCGTGTCGTCGCTCCGTTTACTTGTCCTTTTGGCATTGCTTTCTCTCGTTATTTACCTAATGAAGATTTTTTTTTTTCGTAGCGCGTCAGTGAATGTTTATGTGTGTCAATAGAAAAACCTGCCTGGTATAATACACTGTCTGAAGTTGACAAGCGTTAGGACGTTCTTGTTTCTCTACCGTTATTCCTCTACCAGGCCAAAATTCACGTTGCAAACGCGGTCGTTGTGCGTTCCTCCAGTAATAGTGATACCTTGCATAGTCGTCAGTTGAGAGCCAGTTACTTGATGGCAATGTTTAGTTATATTCTCTACTGCATATTGTTACGTTTTCTGAATAAATCAATGCCGAGTACTTTGCTTAAAATAAATAGATGTTTATTCTCTTACTAGCTCGAATCTATTTTGACAGAGCAATATTTATACATACGTACATAAGTACTGTGATAGCAGGCAAAATTAGTGCCTGCTAACGATAAAAACAGTAGGGGCTTCCTCCATGGACGTGGCCCACCTATACATCTAGCGGTGCTTGTCCTACCACAGCTGACAGGTAGCAATGGCTTGCCGTGTCACTGACGTCGCGTTAACTGACCCTGATAGTTGTTCAACTCGTTTCAGGGGACATTTGATTGATCTACAATTGAGGATAAATTAAGAGTAGAGGTTTACAGGGTTCTGTCCTGCGCTGTCTATATTATTCCTCAAATGAACTCCCTTTGAACGAACTACTTTGGCCATAAAAACCATAAAATTACCAAATATGTATAGGGTAGTAGTAGTAGTAATCAAAAAAGGCTGTCTTGGGATCGTAAGAGGCCCGTTCCTATCTTGGCGTCAGTGTCAATAAAAGAAGAGAAGTAAGACTGATAGATAAAGAAATATCAATTCGTCTCATGTTATCGCCATTTAAAACACATATATTCATAATGCCTTAGTAAAGTGGTTACCTATTATGGACTTTCAACTCTAAAACGCGTAACGTAAAGGAAAATCCATTCGTCCAATAGCATACTGACATAAATTTAATGCTGAAGTCCTTCCATGAAGGATGAAAAAAGGTTGGTACCAACTTGCTAAGAAGCCACGATTGGGTCGACCCTCAGAGAAAGGCAATCTGTTAGGTCATTTTTCGAATTGATATTATCTTTAGAATAGTGATTAATTTTTTTTTTGCTCATTCAACAAGTTCTGCTTTCTCTTCTGCTCCACAAGAGTGTTCCCTCTGGTGTCCTTGCAGCTTAGATTGCAAACTTCGATTTTCTGAACATGCCCATTCGTAGGCTTGTGAAATTGAATTCTTTTTAGCGAAGCTAAAACTTCAGTACCATAGTTGTAGACGTCCAGTGCTTTGTTTGCTTTGAAAAGATCATCATCTTTTCGACTCTGTTCGCAACTGTCGATATTGCCAAATTCATTTTATCTAGATGGCTTAGCTAGCTTGACAAAGCTGCTATAACGTAATAGATTATTCTTATACCGCAGACGTGGAGATGCCCATAATGCCTCTGGCCACTGTTCCTTCGCTACTTAATTAACCGATCGCTATAGCCCGTACCACGATGCTTGTTTAACGTTGTGTTTCGGTACCACTAGTGTGCAAAACGCCGACCAGAACATCCCCCGGGGTAACGCAAATATCTGGGCCATATCAGTTTTTTCTAAGTACTGAAAAAAGATTAGGTGAATATGTCTATTTGCTTACTCGACTACGACATAGACTATTATTGCATTGAATTATGTCGATAGTGTAAACGCATTTGTATACAGCATAGCTTTGTTTTGAGGGCCAGCAGTCTATTCAGATTTCGAAAAATTGTGACAACTTTTTGTGCCTGGACTCGTAATGGCTTTGGCTACGTGGCGGATCGCTGCTAAAACGCAATAGGTTTCCGTCGGACACGTATTTAGTGGGGATATCAGTACTGTTTTTTAGAAAAACTTCTTTTTTGGATACCGTCTATAATACGAGTTGTAACTAAATGAAAATACAGCAAGGCCCTAAAAGGGAAAGCGACTCCTTTATCTGTGCCAAACTTAGCAGAATTATGCCAAGAAATTTTATAGCAACTATAGATCATGTGAATAAGGCTTCATATGTTCTACCGATAAATATATATGGGTCTCCTAAACGGAGAAAGTAGGAATGTTGGCTACTTTTGCATGTTAATGCTGGGTATTTTGCCTGTTCGCTGTAGCAGCGTCCTAGTAATAGCCCATAGTTTAGGAAAAGCCTAAACGACACGGCGAGAAGAATGGCGATAGACCGATGTTTAGCAATTTGTAGCTAAACGCGCTTGACATTGGCGAGATTCGAATTTACGTTCTGGGAGGATGATACTACGGAAAAAAACATTAGTGGACTATATTGAAATCAGCTCGATTGGAGTTTATGAAGTTGAAACGCGTAGAGCATAATAAGTTCACTCAAAAAGAATTAACCCCGTTCAATTTGAGGTTAGTTCTCTGTCATAAGGCAAACTACGATTCAAGGATTATGCGATTGTGCCGACCAGCCTTGCCTCAGAAGGTTACCATAGGTCTAATCTGGGCTAGTCATATTATTTTAGTCTCTACATAAAAGTACTCAACAATTGAAGCGTTCTTCTGTCTATGGTTAATAATGAAGCTGCAATTTCTGAGCTAGATATTCACTACGTGACGGTCGCTGTTATCTACCCGCCTCAGAGCTAATATATCGTAATGTATGAGGACGTCGGAAGCAAACACAATGTATAATATGATGAATTTAAGCCAATTTGTTACCCAGTCTAATTTACAACTCGGGTGCCGTTCACGACCAAATCAATTGACATGACGAGCGAACTATTCCTACTATGATCAGTTAATATGTTTTGCCAATGGGCCCTGTAGCTGTCCGGGTTTGGCCTATTAGAAATTTGCGTATGGGAATGGTGCATCGCTAGGACGTTTTTTATTGCACGATAGGCAAAAAAATTTGAATTGGCATATTAACACTAAAGCTGTTACAAAGGCGTTGGCACTATTTTTGAAATACTATCACTGCAATGACCGAGCCCCACTCAAGTGAGAGAAGATTAAAGCTCCCCCTTTCTGTACGCATTGTTTTTTTAAAAGCGTAATCTACATTTTCTAAGCAGCGCAACGAAGAGTTCAAGCATTTATTATTCAAATCCTGTGGTTTTTTTCGATAGGCAAACGATTGAACCCACTATAGTATAAACTATACCTGCCATTTTCGAAATAGCCTGCAATAGAGTAACTGATATCTTCTGGTGAATACAGCCATGCCGTAATTGCTTATAAGTTAAAGTTACTTCAAATTGAAAGGTTCTATAATTAATAATTCGGTTATAGCTTATGGGAGGAACGGTGCTTACGATCTAGCACCCTAAAAACTACTGCTTAAACAAAACCCCATTTTACATAGCCATATGTCGCAAAACTTGGTATTGATAGGGACCAAGACGCATAACGCACGTACAGATAAGAGTGGTGGCCCGCCAATAAGGAAATAAATGATATGAGTATTTGAATCTTAATTATGCACTATGCATTGTTCGGGTTTTCGGAGAAATGTTCGGCTGGAGAGCTCCGACTAGAATTATCTAGAGGTTCGTCCGTGATTTATTACAGCGAAGTAAAACAATTTGGTTATATAATATGGTCGATTCGACCCAAGGTCATGTGCAGGCGTTGCCAGTAAAGGGCGGACAGATCAAAACTGACCGACAGGTATAGCTTAGTTCTGCTTTGAACGTCCTAGTTTTCTTCCTGCCCGTCTCTTTCCCCTTAGTTCTAAACTGCAGCACCAACCGCGCATCTATCAAAAATGAAGTATTCCCATGTTTACTCTAACCTAACAAGGCTTTTGCTCTGGTCAACAGCACGTACAGCCACGTCACGACAGATATTGGCCGGATGCACGTTTGTGATCCTGGCATCTGTCGTGCGCCTATTGAATGAGGTTTCAGCGTACGCACGATGTACGACTCTGTACATGAGACCCGGGCCGAACATCTGAAAGGCATTGTTCACAGAGACTACAAGAACGTCTGAGGCCCATTGGTGATTTGCCTACCAGCGACGACCAGGTTTCAGCGACTGATAACATTATTGCGATTGACAAGCCTGCCTTTGCTTTTTTGGGGCGCTACATTAGCTTTTTCTATATAATAAGCATGCTGCAATGGTAGCGGTAGGAAATTGTCGGCCGGTATCGGCGACGATAACGCTCTTTGATCTTATCAATAAAATCTTTAGCCGAATATACAATATGTATACATGTGTAGGTATATATATTAAAGTGTTTCTAAAATAGTGATTATTAACGTTCGCGGTAATATTTTGCAAATCAATAGTAAAAAAAAAAAAAAAAACGGCCGATGAGTAACCGACAATCATCCAAAACCATAGGAAATCTTAATTTTATAGTTTGTTGGCGCTTAACCCTTGTTTGAAGAAGAATAAAAAAAGAAGGTTATTTTAATTGTAAATTAGCATTAAGTTGTGAAAATGGGCATATCAGTATTTGTAACACGGGACGCCTACGCCGGCCATTGAATTATAGATAATGATGACGGATATTATCGTATGGTATTTTCCCAACGACATACAGTAATCACAGAGTTAATTATCTAATTTGATCTTACTTTCTTGTTGTTGTTGTTGTTGTTGTTGTTGTTGTTGTTGTTGTTGTTGTCGTTGTTGTTGTTGTTGTTGTTGTTGTTGTTGTTGTCGTCGTCGTCGAGGTGATCTATGTGTTCCCGTAATGGATGGTCGTCTTCACCGCTACGATCGCCTGCTGCTGCGCTTCCATTATCGTTTACTGCGTAGGCGACCAGCAATAATTAGCGTTGTATTTGTTTGACCACTGAAAATCGCTGCTAGCAAAATAGCCGATAGTTTCCGTTCGGACGTAAAGATACAATGCGCCGATGTTTGTGGCCTCGCCGGCGGATATTGTGCCATCATGACTATCAATACGGATCGATATCGCTGCCGTTACAGATACGCCCCTAAGTAATACCTGCTTACGAGACCTACTGTAACAAAAAGCAGAAGAATCTGTTACGTATTGCGGTCAGGGATCAGTGGCGAACGCTTGGTTGACAGTTCCTTCAATGGTCACATGGGACAGCTACTGCCCCCTGGAGATGATCGGACGAGATAATGAGATTGCTGTTGTTACTGGGATGGGCAGGAGAGGATAACGAACGAAGTGCTGCCGCTAAGGCTACATCTATCTCGTTTGCATGAATCAGCTTAAAATGGCCGAATCAAACGGACGCAAAATTGTACAGGTAGAAGCAACAGCTAGGAAAAGACTACGTAGTCATTAAGATGCCACTACAACAGCTGCCCGAGTGGCATTGGACACAACCGGCGCATCATTCTGATCGACAAGGATATACGGATTCTTCTACGAGTCTGTATGTGTGCATAGGCCATATGAGCAGGAATGAAGAACGCATTTTGTTGATCATCGAACGATATGGCGCCGAGAATAGACTTTCTCTTAAGAAAAAGTAGATTTCCAGCTAAAGCAAATGCCGCTTTTACTAAGCGTCTATTTTTCGCCAGGTAGAATAAAATAACTAGGGTAAAGATCGGGTTCAAACACCCAGTTCATCCTAATTTTAAACCCATTTATTACACAACAGTAAGTTGATCTTCGCCTCACGGTGTATACATATATAAATAAGTCGTTTTGGGTAGCACGTAGTCGCTGATCTAAAGCCTAAGTCGCCGAAGTTGTTACACAGTATACCAGTGCTTTCCGGTTGCAGCTGTTCACGCCCGTGGAACGAATGGAAGAAAGTTATTTGTATCTATGACGTTGCTGTAGGTGGTTGGTCTGTCCTGGAAAGCTCTCACCAAAGAGCTAATCAATACATGCGTTTTTCTCCTGTCTAGAAAAGCAGCTGTGATAAAGTACGAGCGGCAGCAGACTTGGCAAAATACGAATGAAGTTCTAGTGTTGATCGTCTATTGAAAGCCTCAAAGCAACCTTTTACAAGGACTGTCATTGTTTTGCAAGCCCAGTAACTTGGCGATCAAAAAACTCCTGGCTGTATTTCCGGTCACAACGGCACAAATTAGAAAAGGGTAGGCGAGAACAGCTGAGACCAATTTATTTTTTTTAAAATTAATTTTACATACTTCTGGACACATTCTACTAAAACGCTCCTCTGAAGGGCTTATTTGAAAGTCTGGATTTAAAAAGCGAGACGAATGGCGACAGACGGCACGTCCTGCTTAAGTCCGACGCACTTATCGTTTGCTTTTTCATCAGCTTTTCAGGACAATTGCGGTCATTGTTGTCGCGTTGATCACTTAAAAACTATACAATTAAAAATCGCTCCGCATCGATATACGTTTTATAGCAAAATATCTATATGCGCTTATGTCTGACGTCACTGAAATGAGGTCCATGTGACGGACCCATTGTGATCGACTGGCGTACAAGGAGTAAATCACTCTGTTACGACGACTCGCAGCTTGATCTCAATTGGATTACTATAGTTTATCTGTGGCCTGCACGAATAAAGCTTTGATTAATCTCTCAAGGACGTTAAATTGTGAAACGAATATTTATGTTTACACAATCATTCTATTCTTTTCATACAAAAAAAACTTCATCAATTACATATATAATTAATAATAACTATTATATATTAACATTATTATTATTATAAATAATAATAAAGGAAGGGTTTGAATAAGGTGGAGGTGCGAAACCTCTCAGACAAAAATTGGGTCGCTATAACTTTGTTCTTTAGCCGATTTTTCGTGCATCGTGCCTACTACGGCTATGTTAAGCACGACTAGAATCTTACCCCAGTCAAAATCAAATTCGTCGGCTGAATGTAATACGTATACTGCCTTTTGGGGTGCAGCATCTCTTGGTACTAAGGCATCGGTTATTCGATATACTGGTCTGGAAGATTCGTAGTCGCGTTATCAAGAGCCTAAGATGACTCTGTGGTCATGCGTGTATTCATATTAACATTGAAACAGTTCAATAGTGTCCGTGCAAAAATTTTACCGTTGTATATCCTGGCGTGCACATGGCCAATTTTACAATGTGTGTTTTGACTATTATGACCATCGAAGGAACCGAAAGTACAATTTAATATTCCTTATAAGTAATTAGCATCGTGAGAACGCCCCGCACCAATGCTAAAGCAGCAGATATCAATCATCTGTTCCCAGATCGTTCTGATATAACTACACCTGACGTTCCGGCGTTAGGACTCGTTCGAAGGACAGCGTTTGATATTCTTCAGCCCCATCATTTATATTCGTTCTATCCACGTTCGGCGATCGCCATTCGATTCCCTATGTCTAGACGAACTAAGCTGTACCATCCGTTATTTGCGGTAAATTCAAACAGAGTGCTGGACTGGGTTAGGGGAAGGATATTGGGGGTGAGACTGTCTTGCTATTCTCTGCGGCTCGTTTGCTGACAGGAGTTCAGGCTAGAACGAACATGCGTTGCATATATGCAATGAGATTATTCTATAATTTATAATATCATCTAGCTTAAAAGTGATCAAGGTTTGTTGACTGTTCGTTGTTATCGTTCCTTCAGGCCGCGTGTAGTTCCTTGTCTATCCATATAATACAAATGTATTATATTTTGTTGGATCGAGATCGCTCGCAGTTCGTTATCGTCTCGTACACCCTCAATCGTTTGTCAATTTTAGATAAAATCTTAAAATAACAAAAAAGGCAAAAATAATTATCTTTTTTTGTTATTTCAGTTTGTTCTTTTTGATTGACAGAGTTTGATACGACGATTGATGGTAATGCTTGGGTTTTTTTTTCAGATATTTTTTGAAAAGGGTTTTCAGATATTTTTTGAAAAGGGTTTTCAGATATTTTTTGAAAAGGGTTTTCAAATAGCTTTTGAAAAAAGCACGTAAGAAAAAACATAGAGATATCTCCTGTTCGTTGTAGATGTAAACAATGATCGAAAGCAAGATCTCCAAACGGTAAGATAATAAAGGCTTTTAACTTTCCCATTATCGCAGTTGAGGTCGTCGTTGCTATATGAACTATCTGTTCTCAGTCATTGTATCTATTTCGTGTAAAAACTATTGAATCATTATTCAAAGGCTTCATCTAAATCGAAGAAAAGGTACACAGTAGATTTTCTCTAAAAAAAAATTTCCCAGACTTGATGTTAGCTTGAACTAATGTTGCCTTCAGAAATTCATCGAAATAAACGTTCCATTCCATTATATCCATCCATAATATATATGACTGCCTGCTGTTACTCAGCAATCACTAGGCTAATTAAGACCCTCGGAAATTCCTATTGTATTATTCAAGTACGCTCTCAAATTAGTACGTCTACTTATTTACAACACATATTACTTATTATACTTAATCTTACTTACCTATTATAGTTTAAGGTACTTAAAAAAGTTTGTACAAATAGAGCAAATCCTAAGGTCGATCATTGAAATCGGTAAACAGGTTCGAGCAAATTAACACGAGCTACTTACGCGAATATTTCCGTAACGAATTTAATAACAAGATTCCTTTGAGTTACTGTTGCTTTAGTACTCAGGCGTTGTTATCTCTAGCATTTTTGAGCACCCGTATTTTGCAGAAGTCTAGCCTTTCGCTTGAAGAGAAAAACAATTATGTGATATGGAGTAAGTCGCATTATATGCACGCTAAACGGATCCAGGTAGTTGTCGGTTCGTTGACAGGCAAATGTTTTGAACGACGTGTCGTAATCGTTGACCGAACCGTAAAATACGTTTTTCTTTATCTTAGTTGCCATTGCGCTTTCATCATGTTACTTTCAAGGTTCGTTTTTTGACAGGCACTTCTCGGCATCAGCGGGCGCCATGACATCAACTGACTGAATAGACTGACAGCGAAGTTTTAGTCGTAAGGAACACTTCCAGCGGATCCTTTTGCTATAATGCAAAAATAGCTTTTTCCCTTTTTTTTTTTTGTTTTTTTTTTTCAAGAACCTGACGATTTACACTTGTATTGGTAAATGAACAGTGAGCTCGACCGGTCTTATGATAATGAAAGGTATTCACACACACACATATCTTTTACGTTTTATATGAGCGGGGCATATCCTACGCACCTAATAAGGAAGCAGCAGCCACCATTATTGTCCCGTTATAATAGACATTACTTTGTAATCACCTGTTTAGTCTCTTTGTAGATTCCAAATCGATGGTTTTCGCCTTGTTCAGCTAGCTACAATATGAGGTGAACTATTATTTAAAACCAGGGCCGCCTATCGTATCTACAATGCTTGGGTTCTAAACCCCACATCTCACGATTGTGTGTTATATGTGCTCTTTAGTGGCACATTGTATGCATGAATTTTACATATTTCTGTTATTTCGCACCTTAGGACAATGTCTGGTCAACAGTTTACGAACGCTTCCTTGTTTGCTAAGGTAAATGATATAGGCTAACTCAATTAAGAATACCGTTTAACCTTGCAGTTTCGAAACTTCATCGGTAGGATTTTGACGCTAGATCAGTTTCATAACATCGGGAATTTCCCGGTCGTCAATAACTAGCCTCTTCTATTATTTTTTCTCTCTGAATTTTGGACGAACAGCTGTGTTTCATTTACGCGTTCAGCTAAAAGAGCCGAATTTTCTAAAAATTGTTTTATGCACGCGGGACTACGTAGAACGCTTGTCGACATGCAAATTGTTTGAATCCGGTCGAACTGGTCGACTATATTTGCGCCTTGTATTCTTACTGTACTTGGGCACGTAGGTGTTTAAGACGTGCACGCCTTTTCGACAATTCCCCATTGCTACAAATAAAAGTCTGCATTGGCTACATTCTAAGTATTTTTGGCCGTTCTGTATTCCATGTATACCCTTAGATGTGACCCTTTCCCGACCCTGTAGTCTCCATTATATGTCTCCATCCCTGGATGCTTTCCTCTTATTGAATTTTCCGTTTGAGTCTCTTGTGTCGTTGTCTTCCTACCGCAAATGACTCTGATGTTTGCCTAAATCTACGCAACGACTGCGTTCTTTTTCTGAGCGTCGAATAAAAGGTTCTAGAGCAAGAATTGCTCTGCTCGTTTGTCCTCACAAGCTGCCACAGGCCTCGTTTCAATGTTTAGGATCGAAATCGCTGCCGTCCTCTAATATCTCCTATGCGAAAGAGTTGATAAGTAAGTTTACGCAACCCGTTTGTTCAACTCGATCCGCTTTGATACTAGATCAGGACTTAGTGGCCAAAGTGCGGCGAAAAACCTAGAGCGTCAATCATCATGTCGTGCTCCACCAGCTGTTTTCCCTCATAAAAAACATAGGAGCCAGTCACCCAAGGCGCCGACCAAACTTTTGATTCAAAAGTGGAGAACTCGACGCTGATATCACTGATTACTGTATGGCGATGTCTGCGCTGCGCGAATGCCGTAGTGATGGTGATCGGGCGCTCGGAGCTACTCGTTCTCTCCATCTGCCACTTGTACACTTAAGCGCCGCGACCAGCAAAGGAAGCGTCGAGCTGCGCGAATGCGTCAAGGATTTTGTCAAGAGAGAAAGCACACCAGTTGAAAGGGAACGCTATCTCATGCGACTTCTTCTTACGCGGAAGGTTTACGGGGTCGTGTGATTGGTGAATTAGTGTAGATGATCACATGACCAAGTTCTATAGTAGATACTTTTTCTTAAATTTCTAGTTCTGTATATTTGAATTATTGCTGGTCAACATTCAGCAACAATAGCGGATAAATAAAAACATTGATAGGAGGGAATATTGATAATGTTTTAATCATCTTACAATCATTTCCTAATTTGCAATGCGTCCAACTTGTCTTAGACATCAAACGTCTGGTTCTCTAAAACAGACGCTTTCGTTTTCACTGTATATGCTACATATTTCGTAGACAACGACAACAATTCTCGGAAAAGGCTAATAGTTTTTCTCCGTTTCATATGCTCGCTATCTCTTAGAAGCAAGAGCCTACTCAAAAAATAGCGCCGTGTAAATTTTTAACGAAGAGTAAAGAAAAGTACCAAGATATCCTCATACATTAGGTTATTCTTAAAAACAGTAGAATATGTAGCATTGGTCTATCTAATGAACAGACAGTGCATCGAGTGCATATATCTTACATTCGTCCATCAAGGAATGCTGAGAAAATCATTACGTTTTAAATGCCGGTGTGGGCTTCTTTTTGATAGTATCAAGACTCTTTCGATTGAGCTTAGGAAGTTTTCAATTTTGGGAAAAAGTTTAAATTTTTAAATTTAATGCTCTATTATGACCCAGATACTCAGTAGTAGGTGAAATACATTGTGACTCATGTTTGTTTTGCTGGAGTTAGAGTAAACGTTACTTTCGACCAGTATTTTTGCCTGTGAAACATCCACTTTCTGTGATTTTTTGTTTAAACAAAATTGCTCGTTCAATAAGTTAGATTGTCGATTGTATCCATTATACGCAGCCTTACTAAACGTTGTACGTTTATTGTTCCACATGTTTTTCCATCGCATGCAAGATGCCTCGCTACATGTAGCCGAAAACTTACAACTATGTCTGGCTTATGTACGAGCTCGTTTGCAAACATACAGGAAGTCGTATCACGACAAATACCCCGTCGGAGTTCGTCGGAAGCGTCCGCGCTTAAACCAATAGCTTCGCTATACGAAACGTATACAACGTACTAGCGACCCGGGACAATATAGCGCTTCTTTTCCATATGACCAAATGAGAACAGCTTTTTTTTTTGCGGGGCGACTAAACTATACGGAAGACAGCTTCCATTTCAATAGAATTTCAAACAGTCGATGTAATCAGATAGCCTATATCGCTTACTGTAGTAGAGAACAGTATAGGACCGTTGACGTTTTTTAGATGTCAAGGAAGGGTTTTCAGAAAGAAAATATCCCATTACGAAACTTAGCAATATTTGAATTCTTCTTAAAACAAATTTTAGATAAATTTAATATCATATTTAAATATATATCGAAATTGGCATAAAACCAGGACGAAAAGGAAGTCAAACATATATATTAAAAAAATCTTAAATTTAATTTACTATCTCCCAGTTACTCGTTAAATGTAACTATTATCTCATAATGCTCTGCAATTACTCCGCAAGCCGACCTTTTTTTTAAAGGCTTTATAAAGGACCTTCCATTAGGAACGTTTTCCACGCACATTTTCAGACCTTCGAGCGGCCTTGTTCAGGCAGATCAGCGCCCTTCAATGGAAACTTTGTTTTGTTTACAAACCACGATGCTGCAGACGATGACTCTGTATTTTTCTATGTACCGCCTTAACTCCGGCATGCGACTGCCACTTCCCAATCATTAGCAATACATCAAGTATATTCGGACGAACATACATAACTACACCATCAGATTAATCCGATGCTGTGTTGCAGGCAAACATTGCTTGCATCGCATCAGTCACTTTGCTCTTAGCTTAGTCGCGTCGACAGTCCCAAAGTAGCTGAAGCTCCAACGGCCGTCACGCAAAAGGACGCTCGACTTGTCAATATGGCTGCCCGTCACTACATGAGCCCTTTGCCGACTGTGGCCTGTGATGCCCTGTGTGACGGTAGCCTTAAACTATTATAGATACGCTACTATGGCTTTATAAGGCTATATGCTGCAATCGACCGACCGACCGACCGACCGACCGACCGACCGACCGATCGAACAACAGTTTCCAATTTCTGGAAACATTCATGACGGTGAAGAGTCTAATCGATGGAACAAGGTGTAGAAACCAGCTATAGGATATAGCTCTAAGCAACAATTAACGAAAACTATTCTACAGACTTTCACTATAAATGTATTAGCAGTATGTAGTCGCTGTTAAAAGTCACCAGTTTTTTTCTCGTTTCGTTTCAGGGACGCTGGAGCACAAGATGTCAATGTGGCCTCATTCGCTTGAATAAATTCGTGAAGGAAATCTATCAAGGTATATGTCAATCAGCAGTGGCTTATACATACAAAATCAAATAATTTTAAAATCCTTTTCAATATATATATATATATATATATATGTATTTAATCGATATTGTACGTGATTGTTGGCTTCCCTTTGCCAAAGATAACCGGTTCCAGGTAATTCCTGTTCTTGGATTGATTCTCTAATTGGAATAGCATAAACTCAAAAACCCAAAAAGCATCACTAGAGATGGTAGCAATCTGAGCTAAAACACAAGTGCTATAAAGTTGTTAGCGTGAAACGAACGAAACAATATAGGCGATTGTTCCAGTCCCCCGAGATGCAGCTCGCTAGAAACCAACGGAGCAAAGGATTTTTCCTCCCCTTTACTCAACACAGAATTTCCCTTGAATCCTATTCGTTAACAACTTCGATACTTGATTTGTTCCCAATCAAACATGATTTACAGTGACATTGTGTCCGTCTACTTATCGCGGTCTGAAATCCCTGGGAATATAGTGAAGACGTTAGATAGTCTATAACTGCCCCTGGAAAGTCGTGGCTGACAGCAGCCGTGTCCCGATTTACTGTTTAGTATCAAGCCCAGTTTTTGTATTTCCAGCATTATCTAGAAGGTTTGTGAATATTCTTCTGTTAGCCACGATCCTCATCGTTGTCGTTTCGTGGATACAAAAAAAAACAACTTCACATAACAGATAAATAAACATGTCAAGACATCTATCTCATTTTATGAGTGACTTTCAATGCTGCTGCTGCTGCTGCTGCGTCCGCTACTAGTTTTAGTCACAATTAAATTTTCCCATTAATTGGCCAGGCTGTACCTATAACTAATGCTATCATTATGTGTCGCAAACTAATGCTAAACAGATCTAATTTAAACTAGTTCAGCGACTGTATTAAAAAATAAATAGAACATCAATAAATTGACTGCAACGCGCGCTTGATAGTCTATGCAGGACGCTCCTTTGGTTGACTGTCTGTCGGTGGCGTCCCCCTTCATGATTCCACACTTAGACACTAGTAGTGTATTTCATAAAAAGAATAATTTATTCAAAATAGTCAATCTATGCTGCTAGATTCGATGGATTAATGCAGAAGACGTGTTCACTATACTGCGTGAATTATACATGCGGACGACCTAAAGCCATTAAGAAAACATAACGAAAAAACAAGCTATATTAACGTTTGGCACTATATGCTGAGAAGCGAAAGACGTCCAAGGTCTAAGAATCCGCTGTTTCGAGTGTCAACGCTTGGAACGTGTCAACGTGGAACTTGATTTTCTTTACGTTTTCCCCAGGCACGAGTACCCTCAGATACGAATCATCGTTTCTCTATGGCCTGTGACGACTTACGCAACACTTACACGATAGTTATAGCATATCTCAGTAATCAATGCTCAAATCCAATTTAGTAGCACGTAAAGCCTTTTGCGTACGTGCGCACGATATAAATGCGGATTTTAGCTTGGCTTTTCTAACAGCCCATGTTCGCAAGCATTGACAAGGTACGTACTCTGCGTCGATAAGCGTATCTGGCATCAATTTCATATGCTTCTCCATATGCCATAATGCAGTTCGGATGATCAGAATCGCGATGTCTTAAATTTAACCTCAGGAGAAGTGGGACAGAGCGATTTTCGAACACAAGATCGTCGAAAACGACTCATCGGACGATTGTTACATTTCTTACATTCAGAATCATCGAAAATGTCCTTTATAGAAACCATCTAAAGCCAGGACTATCAACGCAAGCAGGCTTCAACAATGGACGGGATAATCTTTTGAACGACAAAAGCTCTTTGTCATATGTATGTCTATCTGTTCGCATTTTCCTATTGTGTTTTCGTCCGGTACTATTGTGCTTACTTATTCAGGTATGCGCGTTCACGTAGTTAAATACTTTGATCCTGGAGTATTTTCGTAACTGTTTGAAGCTCACAGGTGAAGAGTCACGAAGACATTTTGTGATTGCTAAAATCCAAGTTAATACGTGTATTGATCTGACCTGTACGTCTCATCATGTTTAGTCCGTCACAGGCGAACGGACCTCATTCGTCAGCGCTTGAGAAGCGTGCGTTTGGATAGTAATGATATCAATGTTTATTGAACTACCACAGTCAGTCCCAGTTCAGGCAGTCCTTCCTGGCTGACCTTTAGATCAGGACGGGAATCAAAGCTGGCCTAGTTATTCGACCTTGTTTCATTGCTACCAGTAATAAAAATAACAACAAATAATAAAGGCCCGTCTTTGAAAGCGGAATATTATATAACTATGGCAGAATAGTCATACAAGTTACGGTAATACAAACTGTTCTGTAGACCAACAGCAACAGCTGCTGACCACATAGAAAAACGCATTATCAATTAAACTTTCAGTTAGGAACGAACAGCAGATCAACGTACCGTATGTTATATTTAACCCGCCAATTTATCGCTTATGACTTGAATTTGAGATGTTTTGAGGGGGTGCGCTCGTTGCATTGAAACACTGAATGATTTTAATAGGCATCAAATTCTAGCAGATGCCTTGCGGGGGATTGCAAACTCTTTCGCAGTAGCAACTTGGTTTACGTTTTCTCGACAGCTTCAAAACCGGACTTTCGAACATAGTTAATCCTGTGAAATGTTCTATTGCGCAGTCAAACATGACGCGTTCTCCATTAAACAGATGAAAACTTTTGTACGTATTAATGTTACCGCGTCTCTGGTTGACATTGTTTTTTAGCGAAAAAGAACTGAATAATCTCAAAAGCAGCGCGAGTCAATGCTAACTCATTGATTACTTAATCCGAGTAGGGATAACTGAAATAGGAAGTTCGGGGCACATACCCATACGGTCTCAGGATGACTCGAACACGATGTTAGAATGTCAGAGCCACGGCACCTGAACAGTCAAAACAACGCATTGAAACTACTCGAGCGATATGATCGAGCTGCTAGAACGGGAAATCGGATAACACAGAAAAGTAACAAGGTAACTGAAACAATACAGCAGTGGGTCTTCTGAAAGCGGGCGACTGATGGGAAAGCAACAATAAAAAAGCTTCGACGGGAATACAAAGCCAGCTGCAACGAGTGCGGGTTCAAGGCCAAACGGTTCAGGCCAAGCTACTTCAGGTCTAAGCTGGGTCTCTGGTCAAACCCAAAAAAACAGATAACAGCACAACGCTGTTATTTCTTTTTTGGGTTTGTGATCTGTATGCGTTTATGTTTTATGTGTATGAGCCGAAAAAAAGTATGGGTAGGTATATGATAGTCCGAATTTTTGTAAATGAACGCGCGTGCATACCGTGCATGCGAGGTGGTGCTCATTGCAACATCAATGGACAGACAACAGTCATTCCCTCCCTGTATGTTTCACAAAAAACACGCAGAACTGCACGTGCTGATAATCCTCTACGAAAAGCGAAGAAAGAACCTAGAGATGTGCTATTGACCCCAATGTATACTACATTGTGTACGAGTCCCTGATAATTACATTAGCAACAAGCGCTTAAATAAACTACTACTTGCAAGGTACCAACCATCAGATAACTCCAACCGGACATCACCCCCTAAGAATCACAAATTTGATCCGTGAGCCTCTGTGGGACAACAGATTGACAACTTTCTTCCTGGAACACCTTTGAGGTATAGCCTTTAATTTGTCATAGACAAATAAACAGAATACCTCCATCATCTTCCGCAGCTCAAGATCTCGCAGGCAGCATAAGATTAATAAAAATCTCAAAAATATTCATCGTGACAATCTGTTTTCAGTCCTACTTACGCCTTATTTAATCCAGTCGCCATTACCAGACTGTAAAATTTCGAATACGAATTATACATATACATATCTTTCTCAAGTGAAACACAATTTCGAACTTAAACAACTTAGCGTTTCTGAAAACGCCTGTGACTAGCTTAAACTGCGAATTGAAGTCTCGTGATGGAAACAAATAGCAGGGACGTTTGTCTCTCACGTATGCCTCCGACGGCACACACAAACATATAATCCGATTAAGATACAGGCTTAACCAATTAATGAATTATATCAATTATCGACACGCAACCACATCTGTCTAGCGAACCAATAGGCTAGTAACATAAAACATCGGTTTTATTTGTTCCAACGAGGCGGCAGATCGGCCGACCCACTGAAGGTCGAGCGCGATTGTTTGCTGCGCGTAAAACTGTCGCGACCCGTCACTGCATATGGCATTTCCAACGCCTGCTTTGGACAAAGCCCAGCCAAGCCGCCGATCGAAACGACCCACGAAGACCCAGCAACAAAAGAAAAAGTACAGTCATCAGAGCAGACGCTAAATAGCGCTATCTCGTTGGCAAATGCAGAATTCGATGCTGCTTGGTTGTGTATACCGCGGGTCAAAGCACCGTATAACAAATGGACACTCGTAGACGGCTTGCTGGTTAGCCAACTACGCCACTGAAGCTCTTGTCATTGGGAACAGAAACTGGTGAAGGTAAAGTACAATGAGATAAAATCAAGAAGACAGTGTGATACACTGTGTATAGTTCTGTGCCCGGCGACTGCGCATTTCTATCTGTCTGTGGACACCGTTCAGTAGAATTTGTTTTCGTTGGCTGTTTATCTTCGTTTCATTGGCTCGTGCTGTCGCTCCTGGCCGCTGGTACTCGCGTGTGGTGCGCCGATAGCAATAACAATCGGCGCGCAGCAGGACACGCGAGTTGTTCTATGCGTGTGCGCGCATATAGGGGGTATTACGGGTATAACAGTCACAAATAGGCTTTTAATGGAAGCAAAAACTCCGGTTCTGGTGCTGATGGCGGCCACAGCAGCAGCGGCGGTAGACCTTCGGGCGTCCTTTGATTTCACCTTGGATTGGACAGAAAACGTGTTTCGTAAAATTTCTCCTCACCCACAATAGATATTGTATCCCTCTAAAATATCCCATCGTCGTATTCAATTGGACCGGATGAAACTGCCCGGGGCCACAGCATTCCGTCAAAACCGCCAGCAGCAACGCTCTCCCCAGCGCAGCTTAC